AGTAGGCTAGCGCAACACTTGCTTCGCCTCATAATTGTCTAACCATTTTGTTAAGTGTTGTTGTAAAAATTTATTAGGCTATTCACCCCCCCTCTAGCCATTAGGACCTTTCAGCCTCCCCGTGATCCTTTGGCTCTTTATGATGAGGCGTGTGCGGCATATGAGGACGATGTTGCTTCTCTCCCTCATGGCAAGAGCAAGGTCACTGTAGAGGACGAGGTCTACATCGAGGAAGATGATGATGACGACGACGATGATGGTGACCATGATGATGAGGAGGACTACGAGGATGAGTAGTCATTTCTTTCACGTGGCCTACCCCTTTTGGCAGTTGTTGACAAAGGGGAAGTGTTAGGCTTTGATCTATCATGTAATAAGTTAGTTGGTCATCTAGTTTTGTGTAGCTTGCTTGGACTATGTCATGTGGTGGCAATTATGTGATGGACAACTATATATGTGTTTGCGATGGATGATTGTAGGACAAGTTATGTTTATCTATCTATTAGCTTGTGCTTGTCTCTACTTGTGATGATGAATGTTTTATTTTGGATGACCATGTATTACTTCAAATTCCTACTTTAAGATCTTGGCCATCATATTCTCTTTCACTTGTGTGAATATAACTTGTCATATTGCATCTCTTTTTCACGGATATATATTTGTTCACATACACTTGTTGCACCCCACGGATTACAAAATTTAGGGGGAGCTTTTATTTTGATGTATGCAAATCATGTATAGATGATTCTCATTGAAATTCAATTTCATGCATACATCAAGGGGGAGCTCTTCATAAATTTTGGGGTTCAAAAACTTTAAATTCTTTCGTTCTTATAAAAGCCTAAGTTGGTTGTCATCAATTACCAAAACGGGGAGATTGAAAGTGCATTTGCCCCCTATATGGGTTTTGGTGTATTGATGACATCCAAATTAGAGATTAATGTGATCTTAATAAGATATGTTGCATCAATTAGTCCCATAAAAGATTTAAAGAGTTGATAAAGATGAAATGGTGTCTCTCAATTCTTGAAGTTGAAAAAGGCGTCAAACTCAAAACGGATCTTCAAGTTTACATTTTATGCTTTTGAGTTTATGTATGTCGTACTATAAAGAGGGATGCAAACTTAATTAGTCTGAGGAAGATAGAGTGCTCAAGTATAAAATTAAAATCAAAGAGAGACACTCTTTCACTTTATGAGCACGTAGAATAGTTTTTGGTGACTTTTGGTGTCGAAAGTCCCAACGTAAGCCGAAACTTCCGACCGTCGAAAGTCACGACTCACACCGGAAGTCATGACGCCCAGTAACTTAGCCCGCGCGGTGATTGCGGCCGTCAGAAGTCCTGACCCAAGTCGGGAGTCCCGACACCTGGACTCAGCTGGCTGGGTGACTGCGCCCGTTGAAAGTCCCGACGTACGTCGGGAGTCCCGACCATCGGAAGTCCTGACTCAGATCAGGAGTCCCAACACCTGGCCACCTGGTTGCCCTGCAAACCGTGTGCGTCGGAAGTCCCGACGTACGTCGGAAATCCCGACATACGCCGTGAGTTCCGACGTTGACGTGTTTGTAATGACTTTGACCTTGCATGAATAGTGTTTTATTCAGAGGTCGGAAGTCCCGAGATCTACGTCGGAACTTCCAACGTAGATCTAAACGGTTGGATTTTTACCTTGAGTATAACTAGCTCTCTTCTCTCTTCTAACCGTTACTCATTTATTACAACCTACTCACGGTCAAAACAACTTCCAAGCATTCAAGACTCCCCTCTCCTCTCCCCTTTGCTCCAATCTTTGATTCCCCTAGGGTTTAGAGTGAAAGGAGAGTGAATTGAGTGAGAGCATCACTTTGGCAAGCTTGAGCACTCGATTTCTTCGTCAAGCCGGTTGGATTTGCGTCTATTACTCTTAGGGCTTTGCCCCTAGCCGGCTAGACGTCGCCTAAGAGCTTCCATCTTGTGGAAGAGCCTTGGGAATTTTGTATTGCCCTCGATTTCTTAGTGGAAACCTCGAGTGACCTTTGTGGTTGCTTTGAGAGAGACAAGGAGGTGAAAGAGACTGACCTCTGTGGTCACCTCAACAACGAGGACGTATGAGCTCCTTTGTGGGGTTGCCAAACCTCGGGATAAATCATTGTGTCCCGCGTGCTTGTTGTTGTTGAGACTTGTGCTATCACTTTTATTCATGTGTGTCTGTTCCTCCCCAAAGATTTTCTTAGGGTTTGGACTCGATCTAAGGAGTGGTGACCTTTCGGCATCAAAGGAGCAACCCCAACATGTTACCTTGCCACTAGGAAGTGGGGTTGTAAGTTATCGAAGTCACAAAATTCATTTTAGCACTTGTAGTACATTTCCCGTAGGCGTCGGGACTTCTGATAGTTTGCGCCGGAACTTTTGACAACATCGGGAGTTCCGACCCAAACTGTCGGGACTTCCGACAGTTGCTGACAAATGACTTTGAGTTTTGTGTAGAATTTTTTAGATACACCTATTCACCCCCCTTTAGGCATTGTTTAGATCCTTTCACTATTTTTATGGCTAGTAACATTTTACAATTAACTCATTAGGGCATATTTACCTCCTTGTCATCTAAGCGCAATGAAGTCAAATGTTTTATTCATTTTGTCTTCTGCCATTTGAAATGCTCGAGTTATGGTGGCCATATCTGTATTTACTGCAACTTAGATCCTACATTTTGTGATAGTGGAGTATAAGTGGTGCGTATCTAGGGATTACCAGTTTGATTAGCTTAAACTGAGTTGGTTAAGTGGCTAACACTCAGTTTAGCTTATTTAACTTGAGCAGGTCCAAACAGTTGCTCAAGATTACATCACTTCGTCTGAGTAATTAATAGAGCTCTCATTTTCTAAAAAAGAAGATAATAAAGTACTCCCTTCAATCATCAAGAAAACAATACGCTTAAAACATGCTAACATTTTTTTATGTAGCAATTTTTTTGTTTGAACACCTTACTCAATTTTTTTACCGGAGGTATTGCCTCCATTTATGAAAAAGTACAAAGTCAAAAACTTTCTATAGCATAAATTTCTAATAATTCCTATAGTTTAGCATCATAAGTTTTGTTATGGTTTTAGAGTCACCATGAGAAATACTCTCACATATAATATATAATTCACATGTTATTAAATTATTCAAATTTATAAAAATTAATGGTCAGAATAAAGATGTCTTATAACCCTTGTGAAACGGAGGCAATAGTTGATAAAAGATGTCTTAGAAAAGAACAAAAGTATCATCTTGTCTAGGCCTTTGAGCCGGCAAAAAGTGAAAACATATACGGAGCTAAATTAGATAAGTTTTAAAATTATGAGTGCATCTTCTAGCTTCAGAAGGACGATAGTGCGGTCCGAATCTTCCAGCTCGTTGCTGGGCCCTTGGGCCAGCACTGGAACCGTAAGAACAAAGGCGGGCTTCTGCCCGGCCCCCGGTCCACTCTACCTAGAGCCAAGCCCCTTTCGAATCTCACAGATCGACCAACGGTGGCCGGCCGCGTTAATACTGACAAATCCCAAAGATTCCGTTCCCAAACCGCGCCAGTGCTGCTCGCCAAACAACCACCGGAGCCTCACCTAAACCGCTATAATTTTTATTCTGACCAAGGCTTTAGTTTCTTACCCGTCAACCAAATTCGTTTCATTAATTCATTTGGTCAACAAACCAAGGCTCTTTATTAAAAAACAAGAGTTAAATGTACCAGAGATTCATTAACTTGTGAGGAGATTTTGATTAGCTCCATCAACTTTTAAAGTGTCTTTTTGGGTCCATAAACTTTATACGCCGTATCATCTAGATCTATACCTCTCCACGTTGGCTTCTCGTATTAACGTGGCATGATGTCGTGTAGCCCCGCGGGCGCGCGAGCAGAAGCCGGTGGACGGCGCCGTGCCACCTCACTTTGGAAGCTTTTATCTCTCCAATCAGACCAAATTAGACTTTGACACTTTAAGCAAAGTTGGAGATCTCGCATAACTCTACAATATTTGTTACTACCTTTTGTGCCAAAACTAAACGGATTCGGAGTTAAGAGGGGACAAAGATTGATGTTTCCGTGTATTTTTGCGGTAGTATTGCATGAATAGAGTGCGGCCGGCGGCTGCGGCTGCGGCTGCGACCTGCTGCTGCTGGTGCTGCTCCTGCGCCACGACGACGACAAGCGCCCGGCCTCGGAGAAGCAGTGCGACGACGAGGACGCGAGCGGGCCGGAGAGGTTGCTGTATGAGAGGTCAGGCCGCGTTCTTGGTGAGCCCCACGATGGCGTGCTTGGAGGCGGTGTAGGCGTGTGGCCCCAGGCCGCCAAGCACCCCCGCGACGCTGGCTGCAGTGCGACGACGAGGACGACTCCGCTGGCTGCAGTAATAGTAATGTCAAGTGTCGAGACCTCAAGATGGTTGCTGATCAATGGGCCTGTTCGTTGATTGGTGCTGGTTTAGGCTAGCTAGTGCTGGTTTTTTTTAGAGAAAAATAATATTGGCTAACTGGTTTAGGCTGACTGAAACCAACAAGCGAACAGACCGAATAACTCATCTGCTTCAAGCCGTCAAGCCTCCACGTCCACACATCCGTCAATCCGAGCTGGTCACGCATGAGGTAAGCAGAGACTCCACGCACAAGTTTCAACCCCGAGTACGCAGATCCACCTGTCCAGACCCGGTACCAGCCAGCACGAGCACCCCCCTCGCGGTTCCGCGGCGCCGGTGCTGAACCTCCCGCTCACGAGCCGCCCCGTCCACGCCCTCGCCCGCTCCCGGCGCTATAAGTAACGGCTCGGTCCGCCGAGCCGAGCATTCCGCAGCACAGGCCACAGCAGAGGATCGCGCGCCCTGTTTGTTTGGCTATCGTGAGGCTGTTCATTAATTCATTTGGTCAACAAACCAAGGCTCTTTATCTAAAAAACAAACCAAGGCTCGCACGTCGCACAAACCGGGAACCCGCACCACCGCCCGGGTCGTCTCCACTCTCCAGCCTCCGCCCTCGGCATCTCGCCATGTGCGGTGGGTGCTGCCGCCGCCAACGCGGCCCCGACGGGACGCCCGTCGTCGGCGGCGCCGGTGGCCGCCGCCGGGGCTGCGGGACCGTGCTCACCGTGCTGGCCCTGGCGGTGTCCGCGGCGGTCGCTTTCCTGGAGAGCACGGCCGGCGGGGTCTCCTACGCGGGGGACGGGTGGCTGCACGAGTGCGCCAAGTGGGACGCCGAGGGCGGCCGGTTCCTGGCGTCCACCTTCTTCGGCGGCGGCGTGGCGGAGGTGCGCGCCGGCGAGGCCGAGGAGCTGGTGGTCGTGGCGGACCCCGACGCTGCCGGCCGCGTCGCGCTGGGGCTCGCGATCGACGCGCCCAGGCGGCGCCTTCTCCTCGTCTACGCCGACCGCCCGCCGCGCTTCGGCTACGCCGCGCTGGCCGCCTACGACCTCGGATCGTGGCGCCGCCTCTTCCTCACACGCCTCGACGTGCCAGGTGGGTCTCTCGGCCGCACGATTGCCCTCCCTGCTGATTACTGTAGGATCGCGCGCCCTGTTTGTTTGGCTAGAGGGAGCAGCCACCACCCACTGACGGGTGGGCCTCCGTCTGCGCCGCCGCCAGAATTCGATCGGTTGGATCAAAGATTTTGTCCGGAATGTTTCATGGAAGGAATTAAATTCTGTCTAGACTTCCATGAATGTTTCACTTGTTCAATGCTGAACAGGACGTAATAAAAGAGAAAAACAAACAGCAACAGCAGAAATTCCTACTCCTAGTGAAGTGAAACTTACGTATCAGTATAAATTTGGGAAGTTTTAAGAAATCATGTTAAATTTTGAGTCTGTCTAGGACACAACCATGTGTTTTATGTAATTTAAATATATGAATTTTTTTTTACATTATATGATTAAGATTCAACACCCTCTATCCTTCTTCTACCTTCAGTCTTCTTCTACCTTTAGACAATCACAGGATCATAGATCCATAGATCACAGGAAATAATTTTTTTTATGGAAGGATAGATCATAGATCCGCCACTGCCGCAGGTCGCGGTCGCTGCAGGTAGCCGCTGCCGGCGCCCAGGCTGCTCGCCCTCATGGCGTTAGTCTATGACAGATCGTGCATGACAGGCGTCATATCTGGTCGCTCTTGCTCGCTGCTAAAACACACATGTGTTGTATACCATTTCTGTCAATTTTCGCAGAACGAGCGTTATCGTTCAGGACACATGAATTTTGTTCTTCAGTCGCTTTCAGCTAGTACTGGTATTCTAGATTTTCTTCGGTGGACATTCAGAAAGTTAGACCGCTTGGACGTCTCTCATTTCCTGTGGATAAATCGTTTCGATTCCTCTGATATTTCGATAACGGACAACCTATCCTGTCATTTTGGTACTACTAGAGTGAATTCGTAATTCCAAACGTGCAGACTAATTTGGGACTTTGTACGCATCAACTTCATCGAATTCCCTAGCATGTTCCTAGACTTCATGATGTGCATGCCTGCGTGCTTTCTGTTCCCCTTTTCCTCCTGATCTTACACTCCCCTAATGAAAATTTGATGGTTTGCTATATTCAGCCAGCAGAGACTTAAATTTTGTCCATAACTTGCATACCTTTATGACCGATCCTGTTTGATTTGCAGGTGAATCTACATTCCCCGACGATGTCGCCGCCGACGAGGACGGCAACGCCTACGTGACCGACGCCAAGGGAAGCAAGATCTGGAAGGTCAGCCCGGACGGCGTGCTGCTCGGCGTCATCAAGAACGCCACGTTCATGCAGCGACCGGGGCTGCGGCACAACTTGGTCGGCCTCAACGGCATCATATACCACCCTAACGGCTACCTTCTCGTCGTCCACACCTCCGGCGGCGACCTTTTCAAGGTCGACCCGAAGACAGAGAGCGTGCGCGTCGTCAAGGTGCAGGGGTCGCTGAGGCAAGGGGACGGACTTGAGCTGCTCTCCCCGACGAGGCTGGTTGTCGCCGGCATGCCGAATCGGCTGGTGGAGAGCTCCGACGACTGGGAGACCGCGAGCGTCACCGCGCAGTACGTGGGGCCCATCCACCGGGTCGGGTCGTCGGCCACGGTAAAGGACGGGGACGTGTACATCAACCACATTCTCGGGTTCGGGCTCGGCAAGAAGAAGACGCACGTCCTTGCGAGGGCGGTGTTCTCGCCGTCGGCCGCAGCGAGTTGACGGCCGGCGCCTCAGCGCGCGCTCCGTCGTGGGATCTAGCAGCTTGCTTAAGCGGCAGTTCATAGTTCCATACAGTTACAGACTATACGTACTTCAGTGTGATGATAGAGATGCTCATACTTTTGTTTTGACACGTTGCTCGAAGCTGCACGATTGTTCTGTTTGATGCATGCAAAACATGTACATGGATCCTTTCTTGGGTCAATTCTGACTTTTTGAGTTGGCAACGTATCAGATGCAAACCAATAAATCTATGCTTAGAAACTACTAATAAGAATCATTAGATACCGATCCAATAAATGAGGTGGTGGGGCAAAAGCAGTGATATGTAAAATCGACGTCTTGATCCAATAAATGAGGTGGGCCACACAAAAAAGCTCTTTTCAAATATGTAACTTTGGTCAGTGGCAACTGGTATACATCCGCTTAGGCATGCAGCAGTCCAAGGAATCCCGAATTGCTTTATTTATGCTCATGAGTGTGCAAAATATTAGGCTAAAGCGGCGTATATAATTTGTCGTAAATTATTCCACGGCTGCCGTTTTATCCACTACATCAACCACGGCAAGCTTTTGCAGCTCAAAGCTTCAGGGCGAATGAATTCAGCTTCTCGTAATTTACGATCAAACTATGTAATTAGTTATTTTTTTTATCTACATTTAATACTCCATATATATATCCAAAAATTTAATATGATAAAGAGAGAGTGAAAAAACTTGTAATCTAAAGAAGGCCTATGTAAGCTTTCAAGTTTCATCGTTCCTCGCACTCCAGGGGAGTCTTTTTCAGTGCATTTTGTAAATAAATGTCAACGTTAGGTGCGTCAATCAGTCTACTCAAATTAATACTTTGACAGCATGGCTCAATGTCACATGTGATTAAGGTCATGTTTAGTTGGGTGAGATTTAAGAATTTGGCTACTGTAGTATTTTTATTTTTATTTGGTAATTAATGTCTAATCATAGGTTAATTAGGCTCAAAACGTTCATCAACTAAACACACCCTTAAATCCCATGTGACCACGCGTCAGCGGCCAACGTCCAACCACCCACTGGTACCGGGTGCCGTAGGTGCAGAGCACAGTTCTCGATTGATTTCCCACTAAATCTCGTAATTTGATCAAACTATGTAATTAGTTTTTTTTATCTACATTCAATACTTCATGTATATATTCAAAAAATTTAAATTAGGGGAGTCTTTTTTTTTTTTGTCTCATATTTAATACTTTGACAGCATGGCTCAATGTCACATGTTTGTTTAGTTGGGTGAGATTTAAGAATTTGGCTACATGATTCAAAACGATGTGATTGCTACTTTAGCACTTTTGAGGAAAACTTTTTGAAACTAAACGTGACATAATAACACAAGTGGAATTCCAATGACATACGGCCACCCACTGACATATGGAATTCCAATGTTTGATTACTCTAAGAACATCTGTTTATCCTCTTCCTATGTACTATAGTGTCAGTAACAACTTACACGAGGCTATAACTCTAAGATTACAAGAGGAAATATATTAAAAGCATGAGACACCTCATCTGGAGTGACAGGGACATCATGATCTTCAGCTTTAGTTGTTGGTGTCAGTATATTTGCAGATAGCTTCTGATTCTTTACCATGCCTGGAACAGGGAGGCCAATTACCAGTCACTAGAAAGAACAAAACAACATCAAATTGGATAATTCTTGTCAGCATAAAGCATACCATCAGGAAGAGCATTTCCACAATAGTTCCTTACACCCTTATTATAAACTGTCCATAAAGATGTATCAGTGCTTCCTGTAACAAATCCCCTCACTGAAAATTAACACGCAAAGATAATAATAGTAAGAATGATAGCAAAAACATGAAAAATTTATATAAAATGCTTGTGAATGGGTATGCGAAAATAAAAAAAACTATATATGCAAGAAGCCTTAGGTCTCACCAACAAATTCAACTGGAAAAAACTGTGCACCTTTTGGCGATGGTTACATTCTTATCAGGAGAAGATACTACTGCATTTGGAGTAATGTGACGGGTCTGATTGAACCACCAAAGGCTTGTCTCATTAAGAACCTGAAATTACCCATACGACATCACAACAAAACACCTGATTATTGAAACAATGATTTCTCATCCTAAATGTACTCTGCTTCCAGACTTCAGTATGTGCTAGTATAATACATGTATACAGATTAAAAATAAAGAGGTAGATCCTCAATTGACAAAATTCTGGACAATACTGTGACTCTGTGAGCACACACTTGTGTTATTAATCACTTGTGACATTGAGCCATGCTGTCAAAGTATTAATTTGAGTAGACTGATTGGCGCACCAAACATTGACATTTATTTACAAAATGCACTGAACAAACTTCCCTTGAGTCCGAGGAACGATGAAACTTGAAAGCTTACACAGTTGTATTTGAAAGCCTGATCAACAGTTTGAAGAACAGTTTAACGCAGCCCGACAAGCAAGCAGAGACAGACGGGTCTAGCTGTCTAGGCTGTGAGCGCATGTGGCGCGCGCCACACGCGCCCTGGTCTCCCGCCCGAGAACATCGCCTTTGTCCGGGGCCCAACCTCTCTCTTTTCACTTCGCCGCACGCTTTAAATCTGAGGTCGACGCCAGATACGTGGCGCCGAGGTCGGCGTTATGTATTCTGACGTTACGTTGGGGGTACCGGACACGTAAACGCCATCTAGAATGTCCTGTTGTGCACGGCCAGGTATCTCGGCGTCAAAATCTGTGGCGCCGAGACGTATTATCTCGGCGTCATGAGTCCTAGCGCCGACCCAGGATCAAAGATAAGTTTAAGTCTCTCAGAGGACTAAACGTAAATTTTGTTTAAACAAAGTCAAATTGTAAAAAAATAGGGGAGGAAATAGGCAACGAAAGGCCTCCAACATTTCGGGCGATTCGGAAGTTGAGACGTTGTTGAGTGTAACTCGATTTCACGAGAAAAATGCAGATTTTTAACAGGATAAGTCAGCAAGTCCTCACGTACGGAGGATCCGGGCCTTGTTTAGATTGCAAATTTTTGCAAGCTGGATACTGTAGCACGTTTCATTTGTATTTGACAAACTTTGTCCGATCATGGACTAACTAGGCTCAAAAGATTTGTCTCGTGATTTACAACCAAACTGTGTAATTAGTTATTTTTTTACCTACATTTAATGCTCCATACATACATTTAAAAATTGATGTGGTAAAGAGAGGGTAAAAAAACTTAGAATTCGGAGGCAATCTAAACCAGGCCCGTTTGGTTTCCTTGAGAGTGTCAGAGACACAGCTGGTACTCCGTACTGGCTTGGCGCGGCCATGGCCTTCCACGGCCTGGCTTGGCAGCTTCTGCCTGCGTGCCATACACCTTCTCCGTCTCAGACCTCCGTACTTGTTGGTGGAAGCCGAAGCCGAGTAGGCCTGGCCGCGTTTAGTTGCGGCCGGATTCGGCGTCGCGTGAATTCGGTGTAGGGGGTCGTACTATTTCGTTTGTATTTAGTAATAATTATCTAATCGTTAACTAATTAGGTTTAAAATGTTCGTCTCGTAAAGTACAATTAAACTGTGTAATTAGTTTTTGATTTCGTCAACGTTTAGTACTCCATGCATATATTATAAATTTAATATGATAGAAAATCTTCTTTTTATACAGTACCAAAGTTTAGATTTTGGATGAAGTAAACATGGCCCTAGACTGATGCACGGTGAACCAATCGCCGGTGATCCGGGCGGCCGGCGGCGTACCAACCTCCCAGGTTCATAGTAGGCTCATAGCCGTAGCCTAACTGTGCTCTGCACCTATGCGCGGTGCGGTGCACCCGGTACCAGTATGTGGTTGGGCGTTGGCCGCTGACGCGTGCTCGTAACTAGGCTGCCACACCTTTTATCCTTGACTTGACTGGACCTTGTTTAGATTGTCTCAAAATTTTAAATTTTTTCATACTCTTTCTATCATATTAATTTTTGGATCTATATATGAAGCATTAAATATAGATAAAAAAATAACTAATTATATAGTTTGGTTGTAAATCATGAGACGAATTTTTAAACCTAATTAGTTTATAATCAGATAAAATTTATTAAATATAAACAAAACGTGCTATGGTATTTACTAGACTTTAAGCAGCCAAGCTACGCACAGCACAGCACAACACAGCAGGGTGGCGGTGGTGGCCTGGCACTCTGGCACTCTGGCAGGGAGGTCCACTCACTTTCCCGCACGGGTCTTTCCGCGCCATGCTTCGTGTGGCGTCATCGCCGCACGATGCCACATCACCTGTCAGCACCGGTCAGCGCTTCTTGTGTTCGTCACGTCATTCTCCCACCATATCACCATGCATGGCACGACACAGTCGTTTCGTCGTACCATAACAATAGACACGTCCAAAAATGTTAGATTTAAAAATAAAAAATAAACAGTGTTAAATTTAAAATTAATTTTAAAAAGTATTAAAATTAAAAAAAATCCCAGCGCAGCACCACAAGTCCACAAGCTCCCTTTCATCACGTCACCGCAAGAGCCACAGGCCCACGGCTCACTTCGCTCCCTCGCCAAGGCCCAAGAGTCGCCATTGCCGTGCAAGTGCAAGCAATCTGCTTCCCGTCGTCTGCCGTCACCCAACCTCCCCACCACCCATGATCCCGACCAATGGAGAGAGGGAGGAGCCCCTCCATCTGCTCCAGTCGCACCACCGCCACCTGCTTTGAGCCCAAAGAGCCTCCTCCTCGTCTCCTTCGCCTCCTTGTCCCTCCTTGTCTCTCTCTCTTGGCCTTCCGCCATGGCGGCTGGCTCCACCTCCCTTGGCAAGCCGCCACAGCCTTTGCACGGTTCTTCTCGTGGGTGGCGGGTTACTGGGGGGCGACCAGTGGTGGAGGTTGAAGAGGCGGTTCTTAGGCTCGGGAGAGGGAATCGGCCGTGGAGGAGCCCGCCACTGCTGTTCCGGAGACTTGTCAAGGGAAGCTTTTACTCCAAGACCAAGAGGGAATGGCAGAGCACCCTCGAATGGAGAGGTTTCCAAAGGGCAAAAGATCGTGGAAGCTGGAAACCACTCTTTTGGTTTTGGAGGCTTGGATTTGGCTGTGGAGGTGAAAGAAGCTGCTCCTGAAGGTGGAGGTGGCGAGAGGTTTCAAAAGATTCGATTTCAGAGGGACCAATCTTAGCGGAAGGCGGTGAATCTTAGCAAAGAAACTCTTGGCTCGCATAATGCATCAAAGAGAGAAATTGAGGAAGCAGGTCTCATGAGCTCTCAATTTCTCCATACAAGCTTCAGTCCCTCAAAGGGGTCGAGACGAATTCTTGCAAGATGGACATGTTGATGATAGGCCTAATTCATACATACTTGGAGCTTATTCATCCGAACAAGGGAAGCGATGGGAAAGCTCAGATCATTCAACAAATGAGGTACAAAAGGAGGAGCAGCTCCAGTCAATCCAACTAAACAAGAACCTAATCTGAATCTAGAAATGGCTGCGAGCAAAATTGATTTTGCGCAAAGCAATGCTGTAAAGTGTGATGTTTCTGACGGGAGTTGGGTGTTCGACGATAGCTATCCGCTATATGCGAGCAACGCGTGCCCATTTATAGATGAAGGATTCAGCTGTGAAGCTAATGGGAGAATGGACCAAAGCTATATGAAGCTTAGGTGGCAGCCTAAGCATTGCAGCATTCCAAGGTGTTGTTGCATTAGGGAATTTTTCTCGCTTCTTTGGTTGCTTAGGAATTTGGGTAGTACTAGAAGTTTGTCACTCACTAACTTAATGTGATAATTTTAGGTTTGATGCTAGGAAATTGCTTGAGATGCTGCGAGGAAAGCGACTAGTGTTTGTCGGAGATTCCATTAACAGGAACCAATGGGAATCTGTAGAAAGATGAAGTTGGGGGCAATTAGCCACACTCTCAATGGGAGAGGGCTTTCAGATTATAGGGCGTGGGTCGCTGCTATATATGGCAGATTTACAAATACAAGGACAGGAATAAATCTCGATCCTAATTGATCGGACTGCCTAAATATACAATATACAATCTCCTATTGCCTAATACTCACGCCCTTGCATAAAAGCGGGAGGCTTTATGGACACACAGTGCTGGTTCTCGGAATCAGAACAAAGTATGCGTTGGGAGCCCTTTCGTCATAATGTCGTGGAACCGATGAGACGAAGGAACATGAAGGACCCGAATCTCGCCAAGGGCCACCTTCTCGCGCACAAAGTGAATGTCAATCTCAATATGCTTCAGGCGCTTGTGGTGGATCAAATTGGCCATCATGTAGACGGCGCCGACGTTGTCGCAGAAGACCACCGTAGCACTGGGCACCAAGATGGAGCTCTGAAGGAGTTGCCGCAGCCTAACAAAGACTGCGGCAACAACGTGAGCCACAAAGACGTATTCTCGCCTCAAAGACTAGAGCGGGAGACCGTGGTCTGGCGTTTGGAGGACCAGGAGACCAGGTTGGCGCCAAGATAGACGCAGAAGCCAGAAGTGGACCGCCTGGAGTCAGGGCAACCAGCCCAGTCAACATCAAAGTATGTGGTCAGCGTCTGGATGGAGCCGGCGCCAATGTGAAGACCGGAGGATAGCGTGCCCTTCACATAGCGCAGAATGCGCTTGATCAGCGCACGGTGGGGCTCCCTTGGGGCGTGCATGAAGAGACACACCTGTTGAACTGCATAAGCCAGATCAGGACGCGTCAGAGTCAGGTACTGAAGAGCCCCTGCTATGCTCCTGTACTCTGAGCTGTCCTTGTCTGACAGTTTGTTGCCTTCATGGGAGGAGAGCTTGGCCTGAGTGTCAACAGGGGTTGCCGTAGGATGACACTCAGCCATGCCCGCCCGCTGGAGGAGATCGACGACGTACTGTCACTGCGATAGGAACAGGCCGTCGGAGGTGCGGGTGACGGCGACGCCGAGGAAGTGGTGAAGAGCACCCAAGTCGGTCATGGCGAACTCAGACTGGAGTCGGGCCATGAGTCGCTGCAGAAGAGCGGGAGTCGAGGCGGTGAGGATGATGTCGTCGACGTAGAGCAGCAAGTAGGCGAGACTCGTCCCCTCGGTGAGAACAAAGAGGGACGTGTCGGAGGTGGAGGTGACGAAGCCGAGCTGTTGAAGGAGGGTCGCAAACCGCTGGTACCAAGCGCAAGGGGGGGGCTGCCGATCCGTCTGACAGGACTTCGCAGGAGGCGACGTCATCTCCGCAATGGTGGGGTCGACGAAACACGGTGGTCTTTGGCGATGAGACCGTCTAGTCGAGGTGGCCGTGAAGAAAGGCATTCTTCTCATCCAGCTGGTGGATCGGCCAGGCGTGGGAGACGGCAATGCTGAGAACGGTCCGAATGGTGGCCTGTTTGACCACCGGACTGAAGGTCTCGTCGTAGTCAATGCCTTCTCGTTGAGAAAACCCGCGGACCACCCAGCAGGCCTTGTGACGAGCGAGGGACCCATCGGCATGGAATTTGTGTCGGAAAATCCACTTGCCCGTCACAACGTTCGCGCCAGGAGGGCACGGAACAAGACGCCAAGTGTCGTTGTCGACGAGTGCCTGGTACTCAGCCATCATTGCAGCCCGCCAGTTGGCATCGGCCAGGGCGCTGCGGTAGTTCGCCGGTAGAGGCGATGGTGAGGGCAAGGAGGTGGCAGCGAGCCCCTCGTAGCTCACATGCGGGAGGGCGCCGGTCCTGGTGCGCGTGAGCGGCGGAGATGGGGTTGCGGCCACAGATTCAGCCTGGGGCGCCGGTGCTGCAGGGGCAGCCGATGGCGCAGGCACCGGCTGGGGTCGTCGACTGTAGGTCCGTGGGAACGGAGCCACAGGAAGGCCAGGCGGGGGCACGTGACCACACCCGCCCGGTGGTGTAGAAGCCGAATTGGGGCTAGGGAGCACAGGGCCGCGCCCCCCAGGCAGGAGAAGAGCCGGGTCCGGCTCATCATCAGGGGGCGGCTGCACAACGTCCAAGGTGGACGGAGCAACCGTGGTCGTTGAGGAGGGACCTCCACCTGCAGGAACAGTAGAGCAAGGCACCGAAACCGAATCGTTGTCTAGAAGGAAATCCAGGGAGCGAGGGAATGGGATGACACTGGTGGTGGAAAAGGGAAAAACAGTCTCATCGAACACAACACGACGAGAAATAATGATGCGTTGAGTTGTCAGGTTAAGACACCGATAACCCTTATGAGAGGATGGATACCCAAGGAAAATGCATGCCGCGGAGCGAGGTGCGAGCTTATGTGGGGAGGTGGCCTGTAGGTTTGGGTAGCATAGGCACCCAAAGACGCGAAGGTGGCTATAGGTGGGTGGCTGTCCATGGAGGCGAGTGAAGGGAACCTCATGGGATATGGAGGAGGAAGGGCGCCTGTTGAGTAAGTAGCAGGCGGCAGCAAGAGCCTCAGCCCAGTATGCAGGCAGCATGGAAGCGTGGAGCAGCATGGTGCGAATTGAGTTGTTGAGGGTGCGGATGGTGCGTTCCGCCTTGCCATTTTGAGGGGAAGTGTATGGGCAGGAGAGACGGAGGAGTGTTCCCCGAGCAACGAAGAAGGTGGTGGTGGCTGTGTTGACGAATTCGGTGCCATTGTCGGTTTGGAAGCATTTTACAGGGAGGTTAAATTGGGTTTGTGCAAGAGCTGTGAGCTCAACTAAGTGTTGGTGGACCTCGGATTTGCGTCGGAGAGGAAAAACCCAACAATAGTGACTGTAATCATCCAGGCAGACTAAATAGTATGAAAAACCAGATATACTAGGGATGGGAGAGGTCCAAACATCACAATGAATTAGTTCAAACGGTGCATGAGTACAGTACAAGACTGAGAGGCACTGAAGGATAGACGCGTATGCTTGCCTAGCTGACATGAATGGCAGAGGGAGCGGTCTACTTTATTACAGGAAACAGCGTGTATTTTATTTAAATGTTCTAATGCAGCAGGGGCTGGATGGCCGAGACGTTGGGGCCACAGGGTCGACGAAACAGCCAGGAGAGCATGTGAGGAGGTGCCAACGGTCGGAGGGATAGCAGGTATGGTGTAGAGATTAGCCACACTCTCAATGGGAGAGGGGCGCTTGTATTATAGGGCAGCGGCTGCTGCTATTATAACAGTTTACAAATACAAGGACAGGTATAAATCTCTGATCCTAATTGACGGGACTGCCTAAACATACAATATACAATCTTCTATTGCCTAATAGAATCCATGATGTGCTTGCTGAGTACGGAAATCTCAGATCCTGCAAGGATTCATGAAACTCGTGGCCGCAAGATTAAGAAAGAGAGGATATTACAACTTCGAGTTCTTGGTTCGTATGCTCTGTAGCTGATGTGGAACTAGTCTGCTCAGTGTCTAGACTAGTGCGTAATAGTCATCTTGGTGTCATTGTTGCAGGACTATAATTGCAGTGTGGAGTATCATGCAACCCATTTCTTGGTGCATGAAGCCAAGGCAAGAATGGGCCAGAAGGGCACAATGACGCTACGGATCGATACCATAGATCGTAGCTCGTCAAGATGGAAAGGTGCTGATGTGCTTGTGTTCAACTCTGCTCTTTGGTGGTCACGTCATAAAACAAATGATGGGTGAGGGTTGACTAATGTGAAGTAATGAATGAATATAGTTCTTGTTCAAAATGAAATAAAGTGCATTCTTCAATATTCTTGTTTCCTGTAACCTTGCAGAGAAACCCTAGCACCTGATGATTACATATCTGTTGCATAGTGAATTTGAGATCATGTTCATCCATATCTTGATGCCTCCACTGCTTTCCAAAGAGCACTAACGACGTGGGCATCGTGGGTCGACCGCTACATCAATCCACAGCAAACTCGAGTGTTCTTCCGAAGCACATCCCCGTCGCATTTCTGGTTTGCTCTTCTACTGTTCAGTCCGACAGGAACAACTTGAGAATTGTTGCTGTCTCCTCTATGGAGCATTTGGTTGTAAGATTTACCACTGATTTCAGTGGAGGAGAGTGGAATTCAGGGGGACACTGCAGAGAGAGCACACTAGGCCCTAATGACAGTCGTGTATGGCCAATGCCCGAGATAAACGTGATGCTTGAACAAGTCTCAAAGCAAATGAAGAATCCTGTGACAATTCTGAACATCACTGATCTATCCAGGCTAAGAATGGATGGTCACCCATCTGTTTATCGACGGAAGGGAGTAGATTTAACAGCATCGAGTGGCCAGGACTGCAGCCATTGGTGCCTTCCTGCAGTCCCAGACACATGGAATGAGCTGCTGTTCTACCATCTAGTGTCCTCACGAGAATAGGATGCAGTAACAAGGTGGTGACCACTGTCTTTTCCTTCTTTGGATGAGCCCTTATATGTTTTTTCCTCGGTAAATGTAAGTTGATTCATTGATTGTGAAAAGATAGCAATTGGTCAGATATTCAGATGTCAATTGTAATTGTAAATGTAAGTTGATTCATTGACTGTAAAAAGAGAGCAATTGGAGTTTTTAGGGATTGTTTCAAATGTGTTTTTAGGGATAATTTGTTTTACAACGAAGACACCGTGGTTAGACAATTGGACTGATAAACAAATTGAACTACAATGAGTCAGTGAGCATTTGGCCTTTGCTCATGGTTGCTCCAATTACTCCAGACCGTGGGGATCACCCCCACAGTTTGAGCCCTTATAAAAAAAAACAAGAATTCTTTTTTCATTTGTTATTGTATATAATTCTATTGACCAGTGATGGAAGTTATAATATGTCTATCATCATATAAACTAAATGGCCCTTGTATATTGAAATAAGATCAAAGCATGTGTCAACTGGAATTTTATCGCTCCCTTGTACATACCACAAATATATCAAGGACATGTGGGTGATCCTCAAAATTTCTGGATTTCCTTTGGAACGCAAGGAATTTCAAAAGATTCAATTTATTTTATTAGAACTTGTGAAAAGCAAACGAGATCTGGTGTTTTAATCTCTTTATTTATTTCATAATAATGCTCCTTATAGTTGACAATAGATTTATTATGAACGTGGCTAACAAAAATGTGAGAAGCGATGCCAACTGCCTCTCTTGAATGTCCAAGAAAGGTGGGGGCAGACCGCAGACGGACAGTTACGCTTACTCCACGACACCTGAAGCTCCTGTTCCGTTTCCGTTACACTGACCCTCCTGGCTCCTCCGGTCCTCCCTCCCTCTCCCTCTTCTTTACCACCCCTCAAAGTGGTTTCGCTCGTTTGCCATTGTAAAACCAGTGTAACCCGCTGAAATACACTTTGGCTAGTTTTAATTCATAGAAACAAAAAGAAAACAGCTCCTTCCGTTTCTACCCCTGCCTGCTTCATATTTCCACACTGATAGCCATCACCTCTTGCAGGTGGCTCACCTAGTGAACCATCTCCACAGCTGAAGACAATAGACATCATGTTATGAGTGATAAACAATAATAGTACAAATCAGAAATATGAATATGACAATAGAACAAGAAAGGCAGTTAACAAAAATTACAGTTTCTTGAGTCTTGACCCTGTTGTATGATTATTTTAACTAGTTCATGAATGCATACAGGTCAATTGTTAATTAGACCAGTGCTGATTACCTCACCCAGCAATTCCTACAAACATCTGGATCACATTCACGATTGGCTGCAAAACAGGGGCACTGTCTGCTTCTGCATTGACTTTTTGCACAATGGCAGCCTCTAAACTTGTTTTTGCAGCTCTTCGAACGCCTATATTGATTAATCATGACACATGAGTATTCAGAAATGAAATCAGTATAATTTTTTTACTCTGCATTTTCATTAGTAAAAATATACGAAATAATTGTCAGTTCATACTTAATCACTAGGAGAACGGGGGTAAAGGAACAACAGAAATCTATCTGCTCAATAAAAAAGGGAAAGTTAGCATAACTTGGGACGCACCCACAGTACTTTTCGCAGCAAGTTCCATTTTCCACACAGGGGCAATCTTTACCACACATTTGCTGGCACACACATGGGTTATATTGTGTGTACCATTGCTTCCCATCACCAATTCTTTTTCTGACAGTTGGATGCCCTGCAGACTTCCAAGTATATTTCAGCTTTCGATTGCGGCCCCTCCGACGATAGATTCTTGTTCTGGCAACCATGTCTTGCTCCTAGAAGACAAGGACAAATAATCATATTATTACTATCATAACAATGCCAACAGAAAAACAAAGGTTGTTTTGAGCTGTAATAATAGTAGGCGAAAGAAATATATTGAAATACAAAAAGGACTGTACAGATGCTTATGAAAACAACAAAAGAAAAGGAAACCATATGAAACAGAGAGGAAAAATTAACAAGGGTGGCAAGCCAATCTAAGAAAAGACTCCTAGCTGGTTATATTTTTGACTTGTCAGTTTGACTGTGGAGTGGTAGTGAGGCCATATATTAGTCACTTCATTTGATGAGCCAGGGTCTTAAAAGCTGACCTCTGGCATGGTCGTACCCATAGTCATGAGCCCAGACAACCAGGTGGTTTAATCAGGGGAAAAGAAAGTGGATAAGTAACTTCATCCAACAGCTGCTGGAGAAAACTGGATTTGGGTTCTGAGAAGAATGATCCAGCCCAAGCAGATGGTGCTGATTATTGCTTCACAAAAGCATCCGGAGATGGGGTTCAAAACAAGCACATCCACAGTTGATGAAACCAGCCAACTAAGCACGTGAGCTTATGCTGTTATGTGTTCACTAGAGAAGAGCAAGCCTATAAGGCCTTAGAACCTGCATGCATCGCTATTGCAACCTCGTTTTTTTTTCTCATCTATTTATTTATTATATATAAAACAAAACTCACATTCCAACCATTCATCTAATGACCCCAGTTTGGATCTGGTAACATGGGTGGCAACAGGTCTGATCCCAAAAGGTAAGCTGTTTTACATACCCCCGTAGTAGCATATTTTACCTGTTTTCTGGCACTGTGTAAACTAGCAATTCCTTGATTTTACTCCTGTTGCCTCAACAATATTACAAATGTTATTCCCAAAAGGATAAAAAAATTATCCTCGTAAAAAACCCTCATAAAATACCGTGCAATGAATAAAAGTCATTGTATGTGATACCTTGTCCCCTACTCTGCGGCCAATCATAACAAACAATAATCACAACAGCATAGTAATAGGCTGAATTCAGACCAACGTGGGCTACCAACAGTTTACATACTTCTAACCATTCTGATCTGAGACTAATGAGGTAAAGCACACAAGCTAACAGGGCAAGAAAGTGCATACCATGTAGTCTTGTTCAGTTTCTTCAAAGTCGCCTGAGATGGATTTATTCAAGAGAGGTCTCTTCGCCATCGCTGCACCATTGTTATACATGTAGTTGGCCACTTCCATGCAGGTCTTCAGACCAGATAGTAAGTTTCTGGCAATGAGACAGCTGTGACCGATGCACACAAAGGTCATACAACTAGGGAATCAAATTATCAAATTAAACTAATAATGGAACTCCTTTTTCAGCAAGCCTAGGTGTCGGTGTTTCGGACCAGGGGGTCCTCAACCAACTAGTGAATTTGTTCTGTGTGCTCCCGATCCGGATAGTGATGCAAAGAGACACAAGGTTTATACTGGTTCAGGCAATCGAGGCCCTACTTCCAGTCTGAGAGATCGATCTTGTATTCCTTGCACCGAGGTGCTCGTAGTAGGGGGTTACAAGCTAAAGGAGAGAAGGAGCTAGTCCTAGGTCTCGGCAGGGTGCCGTGCGGGCCGCTTGAGACGTTGCTCTCCGGCGGCAGGAGTGTGCGTGTGTGTTACCAGGTGTTCCCCCTCTAAAACAACCCAGGTCCTCTCCTTTTATAGCATGAAGGGAGGACTTGGGCGGTACATGAGCTGACTATATGGCGTCGTGTGAACAGAGGCGGCGTGTCCGGGCCCTGTAGCCTGTTCCTGTGGCGGCGTGGCCGTCGGAGTGGTCCACCCTTGGAGTACGGGGGCGGCGTGGTCATCCCATCAGGTCCTGTGCGTCGTGGGAGCCCCGGGAATGCCTCGGAGTGGACGCGGCGGCGAACGTGCAAGCCACTGTGGACGGACTATGCGCGACGCCGAGGCTTGGTCGATGCCGAGGCTGGCACTGCGGTGGGGGGGGGTCTCGGCAGGCACGTACCCCAAGATCGCCGAGGCCCCGGTGTACAGTGCCGAGGCCTTGAGCGGGCGGCCGATCATGGGTACAGCGTTTGGACACAGTGGTCGGTAATCCCCGTTGTACCCTTTCCCAGCCGGTATGGTGCTGATCGTGGACACAATGGTAGGGCACAGTGGTCGGTAATCCCCGTCGCGTTCTTTCCCAGCCGGTATGGTGCTGATCGTGGACACAGTGGTAGGACACAGTGGCCTGTCCCGGCCGGTATGGCGCTGATGCGACCTCGGGTCGCGTCGGCCATCCTGTGGCGTTGAGCCACCGTCCGGCTGAGATTGCGGGAGTGGTTGAAGCATTAATGAGACATGACGAGTCGTTGGGAGGGTCGGCCGAGGCGGGGGGCGACGGACCGCGGACGAGCCGGCCTCGAGCGACACGGAGAACGAGGCCTCGCGCGATACGGAGAATGAGGCCTCGCGCGATACGGAGAATGTGCCCCTGCCGAGGCCTTCCCTGGATAGCCTCGGGCGAGACGGAGACGGCGTCCCCTGCCGAGGCCCGGCGCCCCCTGCCGAGGCCTACCCTTGGGAGCCTCGCGCGAGGCGGAGCTTGTTCCGAGACCTCCTGCTCGAGGCTCGAGGCGAGGTGGAGGAGGGCTCGGTCGTGGCAGGTGAGGGGCCCACGGCTTACCTTCTAGCTTTGTTTTGATGTTTGCTTGGGGTACCCCGTTCTAAGGTACCCGACACTAGGGAAACTAAAAAATATAATAAAATAAAATGTTTCATTACATACAACATATAATTACCTGTTCTTTCCAAATATCTCTATGCCCTTCAAGTATAGATCTCGCTCTAAGGCACTCCAACAAGAAAGAGTGTGCTCCAATAAATTCTTTGTTGAAGATACTTTATTACTCTCTCTTCCCACATTATCAGTAGTAGCAGTTGGGCTTTCTCCACAGTATCTTTGCTTGAAGTCTTCTTAGTGGACTCGTCAACAATTCGTAGTATATCACCCCCAGATTCTCTAGACTCTTGTCTTGTGTCACGAATCTCCGGAATGGAAAGTTTATTCAGTATATTGCTTGCAAAAGAAATGTCAGAAGTGAAAACCTTCTGCCTTTTGCCAGGAGAACGCTCCCTGTACCTAGGTCCATGTTTTGAAATCTTGTGTTTCCTTAAACTACTGGGAGGCAAATCAGAGGATACATTCTCTGTTTCAGAGGTATCTGCTGAAGGCGGAGTAGTGCTTTCTTCAGCACTAACAGAAGAAATTATTTTTGATCCACTGGTTCCAACTAGTGTCATGGATCTAATGTTGCCTTTCTCTCGGTTTGAATCTTCTGATTCAGACATAATATTAACATCAACTTTGTGTGAGGCAGTTCCTGATTCCATAGTATATGTTGCACAGCCACCAAGACCATCATCATGCATCTCTTGAAATCCTTCTCTCCACTGGGGAAACTAAAATTTAAGTTAGCCCTGGCACACAATAAAGTAATGCCACGAATGTTTATGGAAATATGCAAGCTCAATGGGATAAATGCACGGGTCGATTTAAAGCATTTCTATTCCTTAGAAAAAAAAAACATATAGGCGGAGCTGTGTGCCTGCCTTCTGGCTACATCAACCATGGGTTCTGGGTCCAATTGTCCTGGTAAACCATGTGCCATGAGCGTAGCATTATGCCATAATAAGCCCCCACTGTTAGCTTTTATTAAAACAAAACAAAAAAAAAGCAATCACTGTACAAAACAGAAGGAAACACTCCAGCTAAGCCTGAGCGAGGCAAGAACAAGAAGAAAAATTAAGAAACACTATACATAGGAATCAACCCAGGAGAGAAAAACAGATCGCTTGTTTCTAGAAATGCAAAGTTTGAGAACTGAAATGATCACTTTGATAGTTTTGGGATGAAACTGAGCCCAAAATAAAACTGAGGATTAACAGTCATTTTGAAAGTTTGGGAGGAGATAGTTGAGGGACTAAAATGACTATTCCACCTTTTGATTCTCTGAGAAACTTTGGGGCAGAGGAAGTTACAGAGCAAGACTTATTGATGGAAAAAAATACAGGAAGTGGTAATGAATGGCGAGGAAGATTGAAGTCTTATGGAAGATGGAGAAATCTGGGATTTACTCTACAAAATCCATGTATAGGTGGAAGACCTTCTGAGGCGGTTCTATGCAAAAGAAGAAATTGTGGAGCAATAGGATGCCCCTAAAGCTGACAGTTCTGGAACAATGAAAATGGAAAGGGGGATGCTAATTGCGCCATCTGTAATTGCCCAGAAATTGTAGATCATGTTTTCCTTTTGTGTTTTAGCTAAATTCTGTTGGGTGGTCATCAAAGACGCACTACGATAGGATAGGACACCTACAAATATGCAATATTTCCTAGATGAATGGTTAATGCTAGGGGTAAAAGATTATAACCTGAAGCTGTTCTCTTTTCGGTGGTTACTTGAGCATTGTGGACAACTCGAAAAATAAAATGATGATTGAGAAAAATTTCCAAAATCGCCAACTGAAGTGTTATTCAAAATGTCCAACTACTTGCAGAGATGGAAGATTCTACTGAGGCTGGCGGAGAAATCAAAGGTGGAACAGATGGGCAGCGACGGAGTACTTCCTGAAGAACAAGAAGCCTCGAGATATGGAGGAGCTGCTGTAAGGGTTGCGTGAGAGGGGAGAGCGCCTTTTCTTTTCCAATCTTGTCCGGTGGCCTGTGTGTTGCGTTTGCTTTTGGGAGTCTAGAATCTTTCTTAGCAGTTTGCTGCTGTTAGTGGTTTTCTCCTGCTTTCTTTGTAAGCTGGTCTCCCCAGCAAGTGGAAGACATTGTAAACACATTTGGTTTCTTATAAGCACGGTTATACTTTGTCAAAAAAAAAAAGGTGCCAGTGAAAAAATAGGTCGAAATCATCTACAAGTTGTAGAAAAGTGGTATTTTAAGGATTGTGAAAGAGGCTAAAAACAACAAGTATTTAGAACTGGAGGAGCAGCCAATATGGTAGTAATTTTTTTTGAGACGACGCCTTTCAACACGTATTCCATTAAGCAGAAAGAGAGTTTTAAGCGAAACAACAAACTCGGTAATACTCTGATTACCAAGGCCAACACACACGCACCTACCGGACAACACAGGGTACTACATGATTGAACTAAATTTAAGAACTCCACGGGACTACGCTCATCGTCCAGGCAGAAGGATGCCGAGCTGCCTGTACCCAGCCATTCGCGAGTCCTCCGCGACGAGGCAAATGTCCACGGCGAGCTCCCTCGTTGTACGTGTACTGCCATCGAAGGTCCTCGCGTTCCTTTGTTTCCAAAGCATCCAACCCATCAAGAACACGATGGAGTCAAACCCACGCCTGAAGTGCTTGTCGACGCGCTTCCTATTGGACAGCCACCACTCCATGAATGGTTGCGGACGAACATCCACATTAGACAAAGTGAAGCCAGTCCATCCAGGTCGCCCAGACCTCGCGGCTGTACGCACAGCCCAGCAAGATGTGATCAATTGTCTCTGGCTCCTGGTCGCAGGTGATGCAAGCGTCCGTTGGTTGAAGGCCATGGCGGTGACGACGCTCGCCGGTCCAGCATCTATCCTGCAAAGCCAGCCAATAGAAGAAGCGGACACGGAGCGGCGCAGCCGTCTTCCACAACTGTGCAGCGCCTCTGACCGGCGAAGAGCCAAGGAACATGGCCCCATAAGCAGATGCGGCCGAGTAGTTCCCGGTCTCAGTTAGGTGCCAAGAAAGGACGTCCGGATCGGATGAGAGCTGAATATTCTCTAGCAAATCACATAGCCTCCCAAACTAAAGAAGCGTCGTCATGGAAACTGCGCCAGACAGATGACGTACCCAAGCGTTACCGTTTAGAGCCTCGGACACCGACGCCCTCCTCTTCCTGGGGCGAACTGCCGCAAAAACGGCGGGGGCAAGCTACACGATGCTTGATCCATTGAGCCACCGGTCTGTCCAGAATAGAGTGGACTCACCATTGCCCACTGTAATCGTGGTCGCAGCCTGGAACAGCCGGAGCGCGACGCGCTCGCACGTGGGCGGCACGATGCCGCGCTTCCTGTCCCGCCAAATCCATCTGACCCGCAGCGCCAGACCAGCCCGTCGCAGGTCCGCAATGCCCAGGCCGCCCAGCTCCTTGGGCCGGCACACATTGATCCATGCAACCTTGCATTTGCCTCCCGCAACCTTGTCCGACCCGGTCCAAATAAAGGCACGCCGCAGTTTATCAATCACCGCAATAGCCCAAGGGGACAAGCCAAGGGCAATCGAAGTATGGACCGGTATCGCAGAGAGTGTGCACTTGACCAGTGTGGATCGGCCGGCCACGTTGAGCAGCCGACCCTTCCAACCCGGGATGCGTGCAGCGATTTTGTCTATCAAAGGCTGCTCATCGGCCCTCTTCAGCTTGTACACCGACAGCGGTATTCCCAAATAGCGACAGGGGAACTCTTGCACCTTGCAAGAAAGGATGGTGAGCACCAACTCCATGTCAGTCTCCGTGCAGTGCAGCGGCGTTGCCAAACTCTTGTCAAGGTTCGCGAACAAACCAGAGGCACGTCGGAAGGTGTTCAAGATTGCCTTAATGGTCAGCAGGCTGCGCTCCTCCGGTGCCACAAAAATGACGAGGTCATCAGCATACAAGCTGGCCCTTGCCGTGACCAACCCAGGTACCTGTGAAAGAAATCGCCGTTCCTCAGCCCACTGCAACATGTGGTTGAGCACCTCCATCACCAGCACGAAGAGCATCGGTGACAACGGATCGCCCTGCCTCAATCCTCTAGCATGGCATATTCTCCTCCCCGGCCTTCCATTGAGGAGAATTTTAGTGCTGGACGTCGCAAGGATGGCTGACACCCAATTCCTCCATCGTAACCCAAAGCCCATGTGGGTTATAACATCGAGCAGGTAAGTCCAGGAAACCGAATCAAACGCCTTAGCAATGTCAATTTTAAGCAAAACACATGGCGACCTTTGCCTGTGGATCTCCTTGCACGCCAGCTGCACGTCTCTAAAATTGTCATGAATGCTGCGACCCTTAATGAAGGCACTTTGGTTCCTCAGGACCAAACGGTCGAGATCACCAGCCAGCCTGTTTGCCATGCACTTGGTGATGAGCTTCCCGAAGCTGTGGATAAGGCTGATTGGGCGGTAGTCCTTGATCTCCGAAGACTGATCGTTCTTTTTAAGTAAAATCATATGAGCGTCATTTAGATGCTGAAGACTCCGGAAGTCTTGCGCCCAGAAAGCGTTTATAGCTGCCATAACCTCATTCTTTATGATGGGCCACGCCACCTTGTAGAAAAGCCCAGTGAAGCCGTCCGGACCCGGCGCCTTGTCCGGCGGCAGGTCGCGTATGACGGCAGCGACTTCCACCTGAGTGAAGAGCATCTCCAAGGCCTGCAGGTCCAAGGATGGCAGGCCCAGCGCCGCCATGTTCATCCTTCGCGATCTGGTGAAGTCGGTGCCAAGCAGAGCGACGTAGCACTGATGACCACATGGCTTCTTGTTTTCATCAAGCTCAAGGCTGTAGGGTTGCTTCTCACACTGACAAACAAAATATTTTCATTTACTTAGCAGGGAAAAAATAGAAATTTCAAATGCAAATGATCTGTTTACTTACTGGGAATACCAAATTCTGTGAGCAACCATGGAGGCGGCAATCAAAAACCTGAGTGAACAAATGTCCTAGGTAAATCTCAACCTTGAAAGTTTAGTTGAACCAATCGGCAAAACACAGCCTTGAAAACAGGAAATAAAAGCAACAGAATGCCAGAAGTGGAATGATACCAAGCATCTGCGGCAGAAGAGATTATCAAAAGAATCCAGAATGGCATCCATAGTTTTGTCCAGAGAAAGTTGGCTCTCTATCTTATCTGAAGATGCAGAGTGCTTCTCATTTTTCTCAAATAGAACTTCAGATCTTTCCTGTCATTTTAAGGAAAAAGCAGAGTCGCTATCAAATTTTGGGCATCTTATAAGTTGAACAAATGTAGGGACAGTTAATATTTATGGTATACAAGTCACTTCACTAACTTAAAAATATTATTAAAAAGTGAAAAGTGAAAACATATACAGAGCTAAATTGGATAAGTTTTAAAATTATGAGTGCATCTTCTAGCTTCAGAAGGACGATAGTGCGGTCCGAATCTTCCAGCTCGTAGCTGGGCCCTTGGGCCAGCACTGGAACCGAAAGAACAAAGGCGGGCTTCTGCCCCGGCCCCCGGTCTCCCCCTACCCCGGTCCACTCTACCTTTTCCTTCACCTTTTGATCGACGCCGACCGTCTCTCACGGCCCCGGACCCCACCGGAGAACCAAGATACACAGTCACACAGCACGTTAGCGTTAAAGACGTGACAGTCCTATAATTGCAAATATGCTTTTCTGCCACAGTGGCCCTCCTAGCCGCCGCCGGCCGGCAGGCATCCGGTGCTGTCCTGGCAAAAGCCAACCCCGCCCACACTCTCGTGCTCCTCGGCTACCCAATCGGCCGATCCCAGCGTCACGGGAAACTGCGACCCCTGGCAAGGCCGCGACGATTTCCCGGACCACATCGCACGACGACGCTAGATGCCATCCATCGCCCAGAGGCCAGAGCCAAGCCCCTTTCGAATCTCACAGATCGACCAACGGTGGCCGGCCGCGTTAATACTGACAAATCCCAAAGATTCCGTTCCCAAACCGCGCCAGTGCTGCTCGCCAAACAACCACCGGAGCCTCACCTAAACCGCTATAATTTTTATTCTGACCAAGGCTTTAGTTTCTTACCCGTCAACCAAATTCGTTTCATTAATTCATTTGGTCAACAAACCAAGGCTCTTTATCTAAAAAACAAGAGTTAAATGCACCAGAGGTTCATTAACTTGTGAGGAGGTTTCGGTTACGTCCATCAACTTTCAAAGTGGTTTTTTGGGTCCATAAACTTTGTACGTCGTATCATCTAGATCCATACATCTCCACATTGGCTTCTCGTGCTGACGTGGCATGATGCCATGGCCATGCAGGCCAGCCGCAGCCCCGCGGGCGCACGAGCAGAAGCCGGTGGACGGAGCCGCAGCCCCGCTAGGCGCCTACGACCTCGGATCATGGCGCCGCCTCGACGTGCCAGGTGGGTCTCTCGGCCGCACGATTGCCCTCCCTGTTTGCTGATTATTGTAGGATCGCGCGCCCTGTTTGTTTGGCTAGAGGGAGCAGCCACCACCCGCTGACGGGTGGGCCTCCGTCTGCGCCGCTGCCAGAATTCGATCGGTTGGATCAAAGATTTTGTCCGGAATGTTTCATGGAAGGAATTAAATTTTGTCTAGACTTCCATGAATGTTTCACTTGTTCAATGCTGAACAGGACGTAAAAGAGAAAAACAAACAGCAACAGCAGAAATTCCTACTCCTAGTGAAGTGAAACTTACGTATCAGTGTAAATTTGGGAAGTTTTAAGAAATCATGTTAAATTTTCGCAGAATGAGCGTTATTGTTCGGGACACATTTTGTTCTTCAGTCGCTTTCAGCTAGTACTGGTATTCTAGATTTTCTTCGGTGGACATTCAGAAAGTTAGACCGCTTGAACGTCTCTCATTTCCTGTAGATAAATCGTTTCGATTCCTCTGATATTTCGATAACGGACAACCTATCCTGTCATTTTGGTACTACTAGAGTGAATTCGTAATTCCAAACGTGCAGACTAATTTGGTACTTTGTACGCATCAACTTCATCGAATTCCCTAGCATGTTCCTAGACTTCATGATGTGCATGCCTGCATGCTTTCTGTTCCCCTTTCCCCCCTGATCTTACACTCCCCTAATGAAAATTTGGTGGTTTGCTATATTCAGCCAGCAGAGACTTAAATTTTGTCCATAACTTGCAGACCTTTATGACCGATCCTGTTTGATTTGCAGGTGAATCTACATTCCCCGACGATGTCGCCGCCGACGAGGACGGCAACGCCTACGTGACCGACGCCAAGGGAAGCAAGATCTGGAAGGTCAGCCCGGACGGCGTGCTGCTCGGCGTCATCAAGAACGCCACGTTCATGAAGCGACCGGGCCTGCGGCACAACTTGGTCGGTCTCAACGGCATCATATACCACCCTAACGGCTACCTTCTCGTCGTCCACACCTCCGGCGGCGACCTTTTCAAGGTCGACCCGAAGACAGAGAGCGTGCGCGTCGTCAAGGTCCAGGGGTCGCTGAGGCAAGGGGACGGACTTGAGCTGCTCTCCCCGACGAGGCTGGTTGTCGCCGGCATGCCGAATCGGCTGGTGGAGAGCTCCGACGACTGGGAGACCGCGAGCGTCACCGCGCAGTACGTGGGGCCGATCCACCGGGTCAGGTCGTCGGCCACGGTAAAGGACGGGGACGTGTACATCAACCACATTCTCGGGTTCGGGCTCGGCAAGAAGAAGACGCACGTCCTTGCGAGGGCGGTGTTCTCGCCGTTGGCCGCAGCGAGTTGACGGCCGGCGCCTCAGCGCGCGCTCCGTCGTGGGATCTAGCAGTTTCTTTTTGCTTAAGCGGCAGTTCATAGTTCCATGCAGTTAGACTATACGTACTTAAGTGTGATGATAGAGATGCTCATACTTTTATTTTGACACGTTGCTCGAAGCTGCACGATTGTTCTGTTTGATGCATGCAAAACATGTACATGGATCCTTTCTTGGGTCAATTCTGACTTTCTAAGTTAGGCTGCCGTGATATGTAAAATCGACGTCTTGGTCGACCTTGAAGATTTTTCAGCCCGCCGGCCACACAAAAGGGTGAATTGGGATGTGTAACTTTGGTCAGTGGCAACTGGTATACATCCGCTGCAGGCATGCAGCAGTCCAAGTCAGCTCCCGAATTGCTTTATAGCATGTCGTAAAAGTTCGTATTCCACGGCTGCCGTTTTATCCACTACATCAACCACGGCAAGCTTTTGCAGCTAAACAAAGCTTCAGGGCGAATGAATTAAGCTTCACGGCAACTCATGCTACAGTGTTTGGGAGGAGGCGAAGAGCTTCGCAACTGTTGTGGCTGCAGCCTTAAGTGCATCGTTAAATTGCATTTTTACTGTTGTGAATTACGACTAGCTCCTGGGGAAAATATTGCTCAATTATTTGACGAACTCAGAATCAGCGAGTTACTTTCCGTCACATGTCCTTCCTGTCGTATGAACTGATCATGCTAACTCGCCAGCGCAGCACCACAAGTCCACAAGCTCCCGTTCATCACGTCACCGCAAGATCCACAGGCCCACGGCTCACTTCGCTCCCTCGCCAAGGCCAAAGAGTCGCCATTGCCGTGCAAGTGCAAGCAACTGCTTCCCCGTCCGGCCGTCACCCAACCCTCCCAGCCGCCCGCAGTCCCGACCAATGGAGAGGCAGAGGAGCCCCTCCACCTGCTCCAGGTCGTAGCACTGCCACCTGCTGAGCCCAAAGAGCCTCCTCCTCGTCTCCTTCGCCTCCTTGTCCCTCCTCGTCTCCTTTCTCTTGGCCGCCCGCTCCACCTCCCCTTCGCGTTCGCCATAGCCCCGGCGCCAGGTTCTCGTGGGTGGCGGGGGTTACTGGGGCGACCCAACGGCGGTGGAGGTTGAAGAGGCGGTTCTTGGGCTCGGGAGAGGGGAATCGGCCGCGGAGGGAGCCCGCCCCGATGTTCCCGGAGACTTGTCGGTGCGGGAAGCTGTTACTCCAAGACCAAGAGGGAATGGCAGAGCAACCTCGAATGGAGTGGTTTCCAAAGGGCAAAAGATCGTGGAAGCTGGAAACCACTCTTTTGGTTTTGGAGGCTTGGATTCGGCTGTGGAGGTGAAAGAAGCTGCTCCTGAAGGTGGAGGTGGCGAGAGGTTTCCAAAAGATTCGATTTCAGAGAACCAATCTTAGCAGAAGGCAGGAATCTTAGCAAAGAAACTCTTGGTTCGCCAACTGCATCAGCAGAGCGTGGCAGAAGCGTTCGAAATAACACACCTTCGAAAATGTTCGTCTTCCACCAGACATTGAGCATCCCGAGAGCAGGTTACGTCAGACGGATTCCGTCGAGCACACCTCAAGCGAGAACTCGAATAATCCACGTTTTTTCTTCAGAATCCAATAATAAGAACGAGTTTTCAATACTTAGTTCATTTCATACGACCAGATTTTTTAGAAATACTTTATTACAGTATCAAGTTCAGAGTGCGGAATTTAAACAGCAAAATTACAATAAATATCTGACGGTAGAATACAAGGATTCATCTGTGCTCACCAGAAGAATCCTCCACACAACAGCTACTCTTCAAGCTGCACCTGAAACAGGGTAAATAAGCCCTGAGTACACGGTATATTCGTAAAACTTACCCGACTAGTGGAAATAACTTTCCGACTCCAAAGGATATAATAAGTTTTTTGGGTTGCTGGGTTTCTTTTTTGTGAAAAACAATACTAGTAGTGAATCCTTATGTATGTTTCTTATTAGCAGTCATGATTAGTTCATTATCTAGCCATTCTATGTAAGCACTTGTTCTACTTTTAAGCAAGAGTTGAGCAAACAGATCTATTTCACCATTTTTCATCTTCCAGTTTTTACTACTGTGCTAGACTGTAGACAAGCCGTACCGGATTACCCGACGATTCGCGAATCAATGTGTTCAGCTGGGTACCCCGAAACACACGCCCCGCTTGTACCCCAGGCACAAGCAGGACCAACCCACCTCTCTTCTATCAAGGGGTCTAGGTCCCCGTCCAAACTTGGACTCCAAGCCCCCTCACATGAGTCCCGGACTCAGTGCGGTGCTTAGACCTCTACCATCCCCATCTCCAATCAGTCGGTTCGGAAAGAGCCAGAACCCATGACAAGAGAGCAACGAACATTCCCTGCTCCCATAAACAAGTATGTGCTCAGGATAATAAGTCTGTGACTTGGCTAGAACCCAATGCAACGGCATGTCCTTAACCGACACGAACAGGGAAAACAATGCAACCAAGCTATGCCCCATTTGTCTAACCTCTTACACCCACCAATATCCGTACTATATTTCTACCCGGTCTTCTTTTTTCCTTTCACCATTTTATCATGAGAGTGATAATAATAATCATCTATTGTGAGTAACGGCAGGTTACTCACGCTACCAAAAAATCTAAACATAACAGCTACTCGACCTAAGCTAGTAGGACGCATAGGTAGATATATCTATGCATGTAGTTTCAATATAACTCCTATAACAGAAATGCACATCATATATATATTTTCGGTGATTATTCAAAATAAGGGTTATGCACCGGGGCTTATCTTGGACGGGCGTGGTGTCAGCTCAGTCGGTCAGTGGTGGCTCCAGGACCTCCTCCTGCGCGAGGATCTCCTCCTCGTACTCTTCAATCACCTCCTCGTACTCCTACTCGCCCGCGGTCATGAACTCCACCAACTCGTTTTCTACATGCATGCAATGACGGTGCAACGCTCAATATTAAGGCAACAACAGTTCTTAAAATAAGAATATATCTACTAAGCCACTAAGCTAGCTCTAATGACTAAGATACCAAGCTAATCATCATTCCCATCAAACCAGCAGGGTTTCGCCTACAAATGCTACTTAGCAACTAAAATATATTCTTACCCTTATTAACGATTTCCTATATACTACAACAAGGAGTACTTAGTTACCATATTTCTCAACATATTCTAAGGCTATAAAAATTAAAGTGAGCACATAATAATACAATGAATCTACTGTAAAAATTTCATGGTCAAAGCTATTACCAATTTGCCACAAAAATTCCTACAAATACTAATCTAAATAATAATAAACACTCACAAATGATTTAATAGCCGCGGGTATCAACAAATATATATATATATATATATATATATGAACTAAATACACTAACAGATAGAGCATAATTTTAGGAACCTAACAAAATTAGTTTCATATTTTTTGGACACTTATGCGAATTCATATTAATTTTCAAAGTTCAGCTCAGAAATTAAAATATAAAGCTATTTCTAATTCCTTAAGAAAAAGGAAAAACGAATTCCACCCGCGGCCCACCACCGCGCGGCCCACAACGGGGAGGCCCACGTGCGCGACACATATGCAAAAACGCCCCTAAACTCAGGGCAAACTAACCCGCACTCCATGTTACTATTCCTATAGACAACACTTATGCAAAAGAACCCTCGGACCTTTCTCCTCTTTACAACGGCGAGGCCCTCGGCCACCCGCGTGCGTGCCGGCGCGGCGGCGATGGCATTGGACGGCCACGCCGGCCAGCTAGGACCCGCACTGGCTCCACTAACGGACTGACCCCGTCTACAACCCTAGCGCCTACACTAGCCTAGGTTACAGGAGCGACGGAGCTCACGAAAGTGGTGACCACGGCGTACGGCCGTGCGCGACAGCGGCGCGGCCATGCCGGACACCCTAAGCCACCGTGGGGTAAACTAGCTAGCGCTATAGCATCACTATCTTACCCTGGTTGTGGCTGCGGTGGTGGTTTGGTCGGAGGTTCCCCGAACAGGCCTGGCCACGTGCGGGCAGTGGGATGCGGCGGTGCTCCGAGATGGCGCGGCCACGTTAGTGGCTACGACGAGGCGATAGAGGTGCAAGTGAGGTGCGCAGGGTGAACTGGAGGTGGAGGCGGAGTTCGTGGTGAAGATGGATTGATGAGTGGTGGAGCGGTGGGTGGCTGCCCTCGGCCACGGCCGGTCCCAGCCTTAATGGCACAACAGGGGGGACTTCCAAATAGGAGTTCGTCGTGGCTCGATTCAAGGCGGGGTGGGGACGGTTGGCACGTGGACATCAATGCACATACACGGGCACGCGAAATTGAATGCAAGTGCATGCACCCAGGCTCACCGTGGTCGCGACGTGATGGCAGAAACAGAGGCGGTCGGGCGCACAGAGACGGGTAGGGGAGAAACGAGAGGACAGGAGGCGGTGAGGATGCGGTCGGTAGCTGGCGAGTGCACCTTGGTGCGATGCGGCTGGCGCAACCAGTACGGCCCACAGCCGGCGCTAGCTGACGGCACACGCTCGAGGTCGACGTGGCCCGCGCGCTGCAGTGCAATAAATGGCATGGCGACGGTGGTCCGGCCCCGCGCACACAGCGCCCAGGCGGACCAGAGGAGCAGCGCGGTGCAGCGGCAGGCGAGTGCGAGACGGTGACGCGACGACAGCGGCAGCGTCGCGACGTGCGGTGGGGCAGCGCGACGGGACGAGTCGGCATCCACGGCTCCGCGCAGCGACAGGCCGAGGAGGCCAATGATGCGGCCAGAGCAGCAGCACGGTAGCGGGACGGGACGTCCGCGCGGCAGGGCGGCAACGGCGGCCAGGACGCCGGGTCCGCATGGCAGCAGCAACGCGCAGCCAGGCCGACCAGCCCGCGTAGACCGCCGAGCGCGCCAACGCGCACACGCGCAGAACGCCCGACGCTGCGGCGACGACCACTGACGCGCGGTGACCGCGCCCACGTGAGGGAAACAAACCGGAAACGTGCTGTGCACGGATTTTAAAGCTTCTACCGCGACCAACCCGTTACTGCTCAACGTAAACGGTCTTCACTACTCTCAAGATGGTATATGAGGCTACTTAATCAAGCTATAGCGCTACATCACTCTTTAACCCAATTCCTCAGAATAGTTTGCTAAACATAGCAATGTCTAACTGTCAACAAACTTCGAAATTTTTCTAAGTTTTGAGTTGAACTCTATTTCAAATTGCATTTCTAAGCTATTGGAAATCTTAGCTAGTAATATCATTTTTCGACCGCAGATATTTCATTGCCATCTACAAAGTTTGTACTTCAAACTTTATTCAAGTATCACATACATGTTCTATAGCATTTTTGCTTAATAAAAATTGGTTTTAAACCCTAAGTGATATAACATGACTATGAAATTAACTTTCATTTCGCATTTCCGTTGATCATTTTGAGTTACGGAAATTGATCTACACACTCTATTACATGCATTAACACATCAACATGATGCTCATGACATGTTTTAGTAAATGATTTACGATGTAACATAGAGAAATTGGAGGGAACAGGGTCTGCGCGAGCTCTCAGTTTCTCCATACAAGCTTCAGGTCCCGCAAAGGGGTCGAGAGACGAATTCTTGCAAGATGGACATGTTGATGATAGGCCTAATTCATCTGTACTTGGAGCTTATTCTTCTGAACAAGGGGAACGATGGGAAAGCTCAGATCATTCAACAGTGAGGTACAAAGCAGGAGCAGCTCCAGTCAATCCAACTAAACAAGAACCTAATCTGAATCCGGAAATGGCTGCGAGCAAAATTGATTTTGCGCAAAGCAATGCTGTAAAGTGTGATGTTTCTGACCGGAGTTGGGTGTTCGACGAGAGCTATCCGCTCTATGCGAGCAACGCGTGCCCATTTATAGATGAAGAATTCAGCTGTGAAGCTAATGGGAGAATGGACCAAAGCTGTATGAAGCTTAGGTGGCAGCCTAAGCATTGCAGCATTCCAAGGTGTTGTTGCATTAGGGTATTTTTCTCGCTTCTTTGGTTGCTTAGGAATTTGGGTAGTACTAGAAGTTTGTCACTAACTTAATGTGATAATTTTAGGTTTGATGCTAGGAAATTGCTTGAGATGCTGCGAGGAAAGCGACTAGTGTTTGTCGGAGATTCCATTAACAGGAACCAATGGGAATCCATGATGTGCTTGCTGAGTACGGAAATCTCAGATCCTGCAAGGATTCATGAAACTCGTGGCCGCAAGATTAAGAAAGAGAAAGGATATTACATCTTCGAGTTCTTGGTTCGTATGCTCTGTAGCTGATGTGGAACTAGCCTGTTCGCTTGCTCGTAAACGATCGTAAATTTTCCAGTCGGTAACAGTGTTTTTCTCTCACACCAAACCAGCCAGCAGTAAATAATCCACGATACGATACGGCCTCCCGAACAGGCTGTATAATTGCAGCGTGGAGTATCATGCCACCCATTTCTTGGTGCATAAAGCCAAGGCAAGAATGGGCCAGAAGGGCACAATGACGCTACGGATTGATACCATAGATCGGAGCTCGTCAAGATGCTGATGTGCTTGTGTTCAACTCTGCTCTTTGGTGGTCACGTCACAAAACAAATGATGGGTGAGGGTTGACTAATGTGAATCAATGAATATAGTTCTTGTTCAAAATGAAATAAAGTGCATTCTTCAATATTCTTGTTTCCTGTAACCTTGCAGAGAAACCCTAGCACCTGATGATTACATATCTGTTGCAGAGTGAATTTCTATCAAGAAGGAGATCATGTTCATCCATATCTTGATGCCTCCACTGCTTTCCAAAGAGCACTAACGACGTGGGCATCGTGGGTCGACCGCTACATCAATCCACAGCAAACTCGAGTGTTCTTCCGAAGCACATCCCCGTCGCATTTCAGGTTTGCTCTTCTACTGTTCAATCCGACAGGAACAACTAGAGAATTGTTGCTGTCTCCTCTATGGAGCATTTGGTTGTAAGATTTACCACTGATTTCAGCGGAGGAGAGTGGAATTCAGGGGGACACTGCAGAGAGAGCACACTAGGCCCTAATGACAGTCGTGTATGGCCAATGCCCGAGATAAACGTGATGCTTGAACAAGTCTCAAAGCAAATGAAGAATCCTGTGACAATTCTGAACATTACTGATCTATCCAGGCTAAGAATGGATGGTCACCCATCTGTTTATCGACGGAAGGGAGTAGATTTAACAGCATCGAGTGGCCAGGACTGCAGCCATTGGTGCCTTCCTGCAGTCCCAGACACATGGAATGAGCTGCTGTTCTACCATCTAGTGTCCTCACGATAATAGGATGCAGTAACAAGGTGGTGACCACTGTCTTTTCCTTCTTTGGATGAGCCCTTATATGTTTTTTCCTCGGTAAATGTAAGTTGATTCATTGATTGTGAAAAGATAGCAATTGGTCAGATATTCAGATGTCAATTGTAATTGTAAATGTAAGTTGATTCATTGACTGTAAAAAGAGAGCAATTGGAGTTTTTAGGGATCGTTTCAAATGTGTTTTTAGGGATAATTTGTTTTACAACGAAGACACCGTGGTTAGACAATTGGACTGATAAACAAATTGAACTACAATGAGTCAGTGAGCATTTGGCCTTTGCTCATAGTTGCTCCAACAACTCCAGACCGTGGGGATCACCCCCACAGTTTGTGCCCTTTTATAAAAAAAACAAGAATTCTTTTTTCATTTGTTATTGTATATAATTCTATTGACCAGTGATGGAAGTTATAATATGTCTATCATCATATAAACTAAATGGCCCTTGTATATTGAAATAAGATCAAAGCATGTGTCAACTGGAATTTTATCGCTCCCTTATACATACCACAAATATATCAAGGACATGTGGGTGATCCTCAAAATTTCTGGATTTCCTTTGGAACGCAAGGAATTTCAAAAGATTCAATTTATTTTATTAGAACTTTGAAAAGCAAACGAGACCTGGTGTTTTAATCTCTTTATTTATCTACTCTACCCCTATAATACACCAGTTAAAATAAATCTACAGTCACACAACAAATGCCTACTCCACAGTCATGACCTATGCTATATCCACACCCATGAATACAAAAAAAAATATAACACCATCAAAACGGATGCACCAGATTATCTCTTAGTCATTCTCTTTCGTTACTCGTCCAAATCCAACGATTCATGTTTCTGTCTGCCCTCCAACGCCCACCCCACGCGGCACGCGCGGATCTCCCTCTCCCTCGACGCCCCATCCTCTCCTGCACCCGTGCCCAACGCGCTCGTGGCTCTCCCTCTCCCCAACGCTCGACTTGCGCGCTCCTCTCCTCTCCCCCACGGACAAACCCTAGGGTAGACGGCGCAGCGGCACGGCGCACGCGGAGCACGCGGCAGACTCGGCAGACGCAGAGCTCGCACCAGCACAGCGGAAGCGGACCACGCGGCGGCGCGGCAGACGTGGTTAGGGTTTCGCGGCCGCCGCCGCGCCGGTTCCACCCTGGGTCTCCGTCTTCCCCAGCGAGCAGGCTCGGCCCCTGCGATGGGCGAGTTCCCCGGCGGTGGGTTAGCTGGACCCCCTACTCGCTTCCCTACCCGTCCTCCTCAGATGCCTCCCGTCGTCGTGCAGCACCCGCGCATCCTCCTCTCCAGTGTCGTCCTAGGTATGTTTGTTTGAACATTTTGCTTCAAATACTTCCTTGTTCCCACAGAGCTACAAAAAGAGATGTGTTCTGCATTGCGAATCGTGGGAAATAATCAGGTGCGAGAACTCTCTTTCGATTGTGTTTCAGTCAGATTATTATTAGAGAGAAAATATTCTTTACAGTTCAGAGTTGTTATAAAAACTGTCTGTTTATCTTCATCATTGTTATGGTTGTTTCTCATAGATAGTATGCAAACCAATTTTACAGATAATTGCATCAACTGGATCTGGAAGTTCGATTTTGCTGTATACATCCGGTAGACTTAATTGAAGTAAGTAGATTTAAGAAGGAGCAAACTGGAGCAAACTGTCTGTTTATTTCATCATTGTTATGGTTGTTTATCATTGTTACTTTCTTTTTCTCACTAATTACAGTTCATGTGTACCCTCACGATTATTAAATCTGTATTTACAGTCTGTTAATATTGACCAAACACTAATTTCCATGATGATTTTACAATCTGTTAATATTGACAAAATACAGGACATGTCGCTTTTGGTACACGCTTGTTTATGTTGTGTTTCCATTAAAAGCATTATTCTCTTCGAAAGCTTCACCATGAACATGGCTCTATGTGCTTATTATGAAGTGTGTAAGTAATTCAATTTTTCCTTTACTTGCAGATGCTGCCCAAATTCTCTACCCTTGCATGCAATGTGTTGATATATTTTTCTTGAAGGCAAATATTTATCGCGCTATTGCGTTCCTTGGTATTCCAAAAGAAATTTTATTGAATTCTCTTTGAGTTCTGAAAGGCTTTTGATATTTCCATTCTGAGTGTATTTACTCATTAATTAATGAAGACTGAAAGGCTTTTGACATTTCAGAGTGGTGTGCACCTTCAATCTAGAAACAAGAATTATGTATACAAATCATTTTCCTTATCCTTTTTCTTTTGTAGGCTGGCATATGCCAGTTGGGGATGGACCAAAGGAAGGTCAATGTGCTAGGTAGGGAGTAATGCGATGACATCAAAAGGAAGAACAAACCAATTATTCTTTCACATCGTATCCTGATTAGTGATTTTGATCTTGTTCTTTTTTTCCCTGTAAATATTTTTGGGACATATGTGTTTGTCATGGTCATGTGTCTACAGTGATGGAATTCATAACAAGTGGTTGTTCATTGCTTTGTTTGTGGAGCATGTATTTTTCGCTTAGCCTTAAATGCAGATATGCTTCCTGGTTTTAAAGAAGGCCAGGAGAAAATGTCAAATATCCATACTCGGCTATCTTTATGGAAGATGATGAGGTATATATTTCTCATGAAATATTTTTCTTCCTTATCAAAATTCTTTTGTTGCTCTTGGTTCTTGTGACACCTAATCATTGTGCAAGACTGGTTGAACTCTATTTTGCTTGGGTCAGTGGAGATGGTAGCATGGTCAAGGATACTGCCTGGCTAGAATGTTGTACAGTTGTAGTATATGTTTCTCATCTCCTTTCTAGAAAATAAAGCTGTATCACTATATTAAAAAATCTGGTGTTTATGACTTTAGTTAGCTGTGTTTCATCTATATGTATAGGGGGTGATGCACTATAGAATTTTTCTCTTAGAGCTATCATCCAATTATTGAAATTTGTAAGATCCTAGGTTCGATCTCCACTTTCTTCATCTCGATTTCTCTGGGGGGGAAAATTAAATGCAAAAATTAACAGCCATAAAGTAATCAGTTCTTTTTTTTTTTTTTTGCGCTACTTGGGTTGGGCACATGAGGTAGCCGACAGGGGAAGGAAGAGGCAGTAGAGAGATTCTTGTGTGCTTGTTCAATGAGAGTTTGCTTAATTATCCAATTTGAGGAGCTCCTGCCGTGCTTGAGGAGGCAAATCATTCCAGAACTCAGAAAATTCAATTCACAGTCATAAAGCAATCGGCTCAGTTTTTTTTGGTTTATTTCCAATTGATAGTCCGAAAAATAATATCCAGTAGAATAATATGTAAAGTCCTTGCTGTTAGGGCTATTCAAGAGCAAATGTGTTACATGGTTCAGTACTCTTTAGGTCTTCACCATGTGTTGGTTCATTCAGTAAGAAAATGTAAATTCCTGGGTACAGTTTTTTTGCAGTAATTAATGTAGGAGAAGCAGCTATGGTACAGGGCTGCTGAACTTGTGGCGCTCACCCACGCTGTCGAGGGCATCCAAGGCCACCGGTGCTTGTAATTTTTCTCTAAAAGAACCCAATAAGAACATTTTAATATTTGACAGATCCAGCAGGTCGTGGATTGGTAAGTTTTTGCTACGTATTCACTGCTGTTTGCACAAACAAGTGGAAGGAACCAGGTTGCAGAAAAAGATGGTGTATGGCTGCCTTGCTTTGCTTGTGGTGAGCATCTTGTGTAGCAACAATGTATTTTCTGCTGCAGATGCTGTGCATCCACATCTTGGTGATGCTTTGTGCAGCCTTTTGCATTTCTGTGGTTGAATGCCTGTTTCTTTTGGAGAAGATGCTACCACAGGATAGTATGGGGATAGAGGATTGATTAGCTGAAGGACCGCTCATCCTGGCCCCCAGCTCCTTCACGGTACAAGCCATTTTAATGCAGCTTTTAATTTATTTCCACATTTATCAACTCTGAAAAATCTGATTGTTGTGTTGCAGGATGTTAAAGCGCCAGGGAGGTTTCAGTATGTAATCTTTTGTGCACCGCATATTCCCTTTCTTGGTTCATAACGAAGTTCTCATTTTTGATTGTTTTTATGAGATCAGGAGGGGCTGCCCCTACTGTTCTTGCTATTGATTGATTCTAGCGTCAGTCTCGCTATGAAACTGATAAATTCTAAGTGGGACGGCAATATTTATTACTGGAAGTGAATATTCTCTGCATGTGTTACAAAAGTTCCAAAACATAAAGACTGGTAATCACCTATAATATGTTTCATCTTTCTGATTATCACAAAATAGTTATTTGATTTATGTACAATAAATAAAACAAATGCTCATCTCCAGGAAATTAGGAGGCTTCCTTGTATACAATTTCATGAAGTCATGGGATAGTGTAAGATTGCCACCAATCAACACTGTAAGCATATATTCTCTAACTATATTCCATACATTGCATACAAAATTAATAACTTAACTTGTTATATCTACCATGCACAGCTATCAAATTCACTGATGATGGAATTTTTGAGGGACATTCTTAAGAGCCATGCAAACGAATGTTTTGACAACTTTCCTGAAGATCTCCAAGTCATGATTAAGGACTTAGACAGAATGTAACTTAAATGTTATATGAGAAAAAACTTTACTATGACTTCTTAGTTTCCTAGATTGTATACATGCTCAAAGATATTGTGTAAAAGTTGAACTATGAAAAAAAACATTGATTGTTTTTACGTGCGTCTCTAAGATAAATCCGTTGCGTTAGCACGGGTATTATACATAATAATGCTCCTTATAGTTGACAATAGATTTATTCCGAACGTGGCTAACAAAAATGTGAGAAGCGATGCCAACTGCCTCTCTTGAGTGTCCAAGAAAGGTGGGGGTAGACCGCAGACGGACAGTTACACTTAGGACTTTTTGGCCGGGCTCCCGGCAGCTCCGGCTCCGGCTGACACCCCACGATGAATACTGTAGCAGCGGAGCTGTTTTCCTTTCCCCACCTTTTCCCTATCACTGTAGCGTGGTTACTGTTTACGGAGCCAATGAAGCTCGAATTTCTGGCTCCTCCGGTTCTGACACGCTACAGGTGTGAACAGTGTAGCAGCCGAACCATCTTAGAGCCGTACCAAACAGGTTCTTACTCCACGACACCTGAAGCTCCCGTTCCGTTTCCGTTACACTGACCCTCCTGGCTCCCCCGGTCCTCCCTCCCTCTCCCTCTTCTTTTTCTCTCCAGCCCGGCAGCCCCTGCTTGAGGCTCCCTCTCCCTCCGGAAGCCGCACGGCTAGCCATTGCCGTACCATCCGCCCTTGTTTCCTTCCCGCAGCACGGAGCAATGGAGAGGCAGAGGAGCTCCTCCTCGTACCGGCTCTTTAGTCCCAAGTGCCTCCTCCTCCTGTCCTTCGGCTCCTCCTCCCTCCTCTTCTCCTTCCTCTTCGCGCTTTTCGTCGTCCGCCACGGCCGCCCCCTCCACCTCCCATTCGCCATGCCCAACGACTCCACCGCGGCCCTTGCACGGTCACCGCCTCTTGGGAGCGGTGGGGGTTCCATGGTCGGCGCAGTGGCGCTCGCGCCGGAGGCCGGTTATGCGGTCCGTGGGCGCGGGAGTGGAGATTCAGTGGCGGATGGAGCCCTCCACGCGGTTGCCGGAGACCTGTCGGCTCGGGGCGTGGGCTCGGCAATGGAGGTGGAAGAAGCGGTTACCGGAGGAGGAAATGGTGGAGCACCCGCGACTGGTAAGGTTTTGGAGGTGCAAGAGATTGCAGAAGCTGGGAAGAACTCTATTGGAGCCTCGGATTTGGCTATGGATGCTAAAGAAGTGCCCGGTGTGGGAGGAGATGACGAGAAGTTGGGGAAATTTTCCGTTCGGAAGGAAAACTTGCCTGAGGACAAGGATCTTAGCAGACAACACGCTGGTTCGGAAACAAAGACGCAGTTAAATGCTGGCACTGGCAATGCGTCTGCTTCACAGGAAGTAGCTGCATCAATGGTGAAATCGGAGGGAGGAGAGTCTCTGAGAACTGTCAATTTATCCGTCGAAGCTTCAGGTGCTGCAATGGAGATGAGAGGTGAATCTGTGCAAGACGATCTTGTGGTTGTGGGGGATAAGCACAACTCCTCAGTACAAGCAGCTTATGCTTCTCAACAAGGGGAGCAACTTGAAAGCTCAGATCATTCAGCAGGGAATAATAATTCTGGGGGAGCTCCGGTCAATCAAAATAAGCAAGATCCTAATCTGATTGAGGAAGCGGTCACGAGCAAAACGGATTCTACACGAAGCAATACCATACATTGTGATGTTTATGATGGGAGTTGGGTGTTTAATGAGACCTATCCACTCTACACGAGCGATTCATGCCCGTTTATAGATGAAGGATTCAGCTGTGGAGCAAATGGAAGAATGGATCAAAGATACATGAAGTGGAGGTGGCAGCCTAAGCATTGCAATATACCGAGGTATTTGTTGCATTCCTGCAATTCCTTAGCTTTTTGATTGCCTAGAAGTTTTGCAATTTGCTAACTTCTTGAAATAAAACTTAGGTTTAATGCTAGGAAAATGCTTGAGATGCTGCGAGGAAAGCGACTAGTGTTTATTGGGGACTCCATTAACAGAAACCAGTGGGAATCCATGATGTGCTTGCTGAGAACGGCTGTCTCAGATCCTGGAAGGATTCATGAAACCCATGGCCGCAGGATTACTAAAGAGAAGGGTGATTACAACTTCAAGTTCTTGGTTAGTATTTCCTGTATCTGACTATGAGTAGTCCATTCATCAATGTCTAGGCTTGTAGATGGTAATCATCTTGGTATGGTTGTTGCAGGACTACAACTGTAGTGTGGAATATCATGTGACACATTTCTTGGTGCATGAAAGCAAGGCGAGAATTGGCCAGAAGCGCATGAAGACACTACGGATCGATACCATTCATCGGAGCTCATCAAGATGGAAAGGTGCTGATGTGCTTGTGTTCAACACTGCCCATTGGTGGTCGCATCACAAAACACAATCTGGGTGAGTATTGACTAATGTGAATGACAATCACATCAGATGAACAGAGTTTTTATTTGGAATCAACTGTCAAACAACTCCAACCATTGACACTATTTTTCTTCTTTAAAAAAAAACTAGAGCTTATAGAATAAAATAACCAAATCATGTTATTAAAAATCTGATTATCACATATACTTTGCAGAGTGAACTATTATCAGGAGGGAGACCATGTTCATCCCCATCTCGATGCCTCTACCGCTTTCCAAAGAGCACTAACCACCTGGGCATCCTGGGTGGACAGGTACATCAATCCACAGCTAACTCAAGTGTTCTTCCGAAGCTCATCCCCGTCGCATTTCAGGTTTGGTCTTTGACTAGTCAATCTAACATGAGTGTCATAAGAGCTGCTGTTGTCTCCTCTGTGCAAGCAGGTCGATGTAACTAGTTGTTGTCAATTTCAGCGGTAGGGAGTGGAATTCAGGGGGACACTGCAGAGAGAGCATGCTGCCCCTTAATGACACCCATGCTAAGCCGGTACCTGAGAGAAACGTGATCTTGGAACAAGTCACGAAGCAAATGAAGACTCCTGTGACAATTCTGAACATCACTAATCTATCTGGGATCAGGATAGATGGTCACCCATCTGTATATGGCCGGAAGACGATAGATTTAACCGCATCGAGCGTACAGGATTGCAGCCACTGGTGCCTTCCTGGAGTCCCAGATACATGGAATGAACTGTTATTCTACCATCTACTGTCGCCACAAGAAAAAAAAATGTAACAAGTTAGTGGCTGAATTATTTGCCCGCTCATCTTTTTTATGGCGCAGCCTCTGTAAATGTTAATTTGATTTGAAAGGAGGGCGCAAGTGCAAAATCAGTCAATCATGCTTGTCTCTGCAGTCTGTGCACCCTCTCCGCAACCAATAATGTGACATGCAAATAGCCTACTATCAGGTTCTAGAAACACTCCTAATGAATCATCAAATACTTTCAGGAATAAAGTGTACATTTAGCAAATAAATTTCATCTTACCAAATTTATTTTTTACAAACAAGCCTATTGTTGTAGCCATCTCAGCTATTTGATACTCTAGCAATAGCCACTCCAGTTTGAAAACCTTTTATCTTTTCTCAACCTAACAAGGTTGTCACCTTCCGACCTAAGGTCCACAAATGTTTATATGCATTTATTCTCCAACTTGATGTCTGAGTTTATTTACTAAAATATATAGTATGTTTATCTACTAGCAAAGTCCTCGTGTAATGACTAGGACTAAATCATGTATTAAATATAAAATTTACTGCATATTTGTATCATCCGGAGCGACTCTGCGCTATCGAGCAACTTTGTGTGCTCGATGGTGAGAGACGGATGCTTCGTCCTTCTTTGATCCCTCGGGTCTCCTAGCCCAAGCTGGAGCCTGGTCAGGCCCATAACGATAATCATAAAAGAGTTCCTCGCTAGCCTCAATATGCTCCTTCGCATAGATACCAACCCGATGGTCGCCAGCCACCAACATCACCTGGAAAGTAGGATGAATTTAAGATGAGCGACATAATAAAGAACTAAATGATATTCAGTAATTGCAATTCTTACCTTTGCATAGCAGTTGGGGTTAGATGAGTGATTTGCGAACTTCAATTTGTCCCCTTGCGATAAGCATCCAATACATACTGTATAAAAGTATTGAATTCAGCTTACTGCTTTGAATTAAACAAATATTCCAATCCAATGAAGAAAGAGAGGAGGGACAAGAAGCACCTGGTCATTTAAATCAAACAGAAATGATGAGTTTGCCCGGTCATAAATTTTGCCGCGTTTGTCTGCTTCCTTGTGAGAGATCAATTCACCAGTATATTCTCCAAGATAATCATTTTTATGTACAGGATTCTACATATTGCAAGGAAAGTAAAAGAAAATTAGCCAGAACAAGAAAGAAAGTATCACACTCAGAGGTTTTGTTCGGTTATCTGACCTTAATGAATGCACCCCAACCTGCAACATCAGATCTTCCTAACAAAATCTGGTCCATGGTAAACAATTAATGCAGTTAGCATTAGTAGAGTGTAGTGATACAAAGGGACAAATAGCACCGCATGAATATACTCAGTCTCACCCTTTGCTGTTGTTTCAAAAGGAGCTTCATATTTCCACACTGATAGCCATCACCTCTTGCAGGTGGCTCACCTAGTGAACCATCTCCACAGCTGAAGACAATAGACATCATGTTATGAGTGATAAACTATAATAGTACAAATCAGAAATATGAATATGACAATAGAACAAGAAAGGCAGTTAACAAAAATTACAGTTTCTTGAGTCTTGACCCTGTTGTATGATTATTTTAACTAGTTCATGAATGCATAAAGGTCAATTGTTAATTAGACCAGTGCTGATTACCTCACCCAGCAATTCCTACAAACATCTGGATCACATTCACGATTGGCTGCAAAACAGGGGCACTGTCTGCTTCTGCATTGACTTTTTGCACAATGACAGCCTCTAAACTTGTTTTTGCAGCTCTTCGAACACCTATATTGATTAATCATGACACATGAGTATTCAGAAATGAAATCAGTATAATTTTTTTACTCTGCATTTTCATTAGTAAAAATATACGAAATAATTGTCAGTTCATACTTAATCACTAGGAGAACGGGGGTACAGGAACAACAGAAATCTATCTGCTCAATAAAAAAGGGAAAGTTAGCATAACTTGGGACGCACCCACAGTACTTTTCGCAGCAAGTTCCATTTTCCACACAGGGGCAATCTTTACCACACATTTGCTGGCAAACACATGGGTTATATTGTGTGTACCATTGCTTCCCATCACCAATTCTTTTTCTAACAGTTGGATGCCCTGCAGACTTCCAAGTATATTTCAGCTTTCGATTGCGGCCCCTCCGACGATAGATTCTTGTTCTGGCAACCATGTCTTGCTCCTAGAAGACAAGGACAAATAATCATATTATTACTAGCATAACAATGCCAACAGAAAAACAAAGGTTTTTTTGAGCTGTAATAATAGTAGGCGAAAGAAATATATTGAAATACAAAAAGGACTGTACAGATGCTTATGAAAACAACAAAAGAAAAGGAAACCATATGAAACAGAGAGGAAAAATTAACAAGGGTGGCAAGCCAATCTAAGAAAAGACTCCTAGCTGGTTATATTTTTTACTTGTCAGTTTGACTGTGGAGTGGTAGTGAGGCCATATATTAGTCACTTCATTTGTTGAGCCAGGGTCTTAAAAGCTGACCTCTGGCATGGTCGTACCCATAGTCATGAGCCCAGACAACCAGGTGGTTTAATCAGGGGAAAAGAAAGTGGATAAGTAACTTCATCCAACAGCTGCTGGAGAAAACTGGATTTGGGTTCTGAGAAGAATGATCCAGCCCAAGCAGATGGTGCTGATTATTGCTTCACAAAAGCATCCGGAGATGGGGTTCAAAACAAGCACATCCACAGTTGATGAAACCAGCCAACTAAGCATGTGAGCTTATGCTGTTATGTGTTCACTAGAGAAGAGCAGCCTATAAGGCCTTAGAACCTGCATGCATCACTATTGCAACCTCGTTTTTTTTCTCATCTATTTATTTATTATATATAAAACAAAACTCACATTCCAACCATTCATCTAATGACCCCAGTTTGGATCTGGTAACATGGGTGGCAACAGGTCTGATCCCAAAAGGAAAGCCGTTTTACTTACCCCCGTAGTTGCATATTTTACCTGTTTTCTGGCACTGTGTAAACTAACAATTCCTTGATTTTTCTCCTGTTGCCTCAACAATATTACAAATGTTATTCCCAAAAGGATAAAAAAATTATCCTCGTAAAAAACCCTAATCTGTAACCCTCATAAAATACCGTGCAATAAATAAAAGTCATTGTATGTGATACCTTGTCCCCTACTCTGCGGCCGATCATAACAAACAATAATCACAACAGCATAGTAATAGGCTGAATTCAGACCAACGTGGGCTACCAACAGTTTACATACTTCTAACCATTCTGATCTGAGACCAATGAGGCAAAGCACACCAGCTAACAGGGCAAGAAAGTGCATACCATGTAGTCTTGTTCAGTTTCTTCAAAGTCGCCTGAGATGGATTTATTCAAGAGAGGTCTCTTCGCCATCGCTGCACCATTGTTATACATGTAGTTGGCCACTTCCATGCAGGTCTTCAGACCAGATAGTAAGTTTCTGGCAATGAGACAGCTGTGACCGATGCACACAAAGGTCATACAACTAGGGAATCAAATTATCAAATTAAACTAATAATGGAACTCCTTTTTCAGCAAGCCTAGGGAAACTAAAAAATATAATAAAATAAAATGTTTCATTACATACAACATATAATTACCTGTTCTTTCCAAATATCTCTATGCCCTTCAAGTATAGATCTCGCTCTAAGGCACTCCAACAAGAAAGAGTGTGCTCCAATAAATTCTTTGTTGAAGATACTTTATTACTCTCTCTTCCCACATTATCAGTAGTAGTAGTTGGGCTTTCTCCACAGATATCTTTGCTTGAAGTCTTCTTAGTGGACTCGTCAACAATTCGTAGTTTATCACCCCCAGATTCTCTAGACCCTTGTCTTGTGTCACGAATCTCGGAATGGAAAGTTTATTCAGTATATTGCTTGCAAAAGAAATGTCAGAAGTGAAAACCTTCTGCCTTTTGCCAGAGAACGCTCCCTGTACCTAGGTCCATGTTTTGAAATCTTGTGTTTCCTTAAACTACTGGGAGGCAAATCAGAGGATACATTCTCTGTTTCAGAGGTATCTGCTGAAGGCGGAGTAGTGCTTTCTTCAGCACTAACAGAAGAAATTATTTTTGATCCACTGGTTCCAACTAGTTTGGGACTTAAAGGCTTTGTTGTTGTTGTTGTTGTGGTTCCAACTAGTGTCATGGATCTAATGTTGCCTTTCTCTCGGTTTGAATCTTCTGATTCAGACATAATATTAACATCAACTTTGTGTGAGGCAGTTCCTGATTCCATAGTATATGTTGCACAGCCACCAAGACCATCATCATGCATCTCTTGAAATCCTTCTCTCCACTGGGGAAACTAAAATTTAAGTTAGCCCTGGCACACAATAAAGTAATGCCACGAATCTTTATGGAAATATACAAGCTCAATGGGATAAATGCACGGGTCAATTTAAAGCATTTCTATTCCTTAGAAAAAAAAACATATAGGTGGAGCTGTGTGCCTGCCTTCTGGCTACATCAACCATGGGTTCTGGGTCCAATTGTCCTGGTAAACCATGTGCCATGAGAGTAGCATTATGCCATAATAAGTTTTAGTTATATACTCGCAATACCACTAACGGACACCACACCCCGTTCACTCGCTCCCCAACTTGTGGCGCTCTGCTTACCTCTGTGAAACCCTAGGCGGCCACTGCACCTGCCCGCTCACCACCACCACATCTTGGCACGTAGCGGGCATCTATGCTGCATTCAACAACATAGCTGCTCCGTCCAATATGCCACCCACCCCTCCATTCCAATGGCCCTCAATTTCACATGTACTGTCACTCGTCGTTGTCGTCATCCACTCCATAAAGTAGGATAGTAGAGCAGCGCTCATCACTTGCAGTAATGAAATACTAGATCACTAATCTCGTTTCCTAATTCCAAACCCCAAATCCCCAATAAAATTGCTTCTCCCTCTCAATCCCCCTCCATCGCTTCATCTCTTGACATCTCGCTGTGATGTCCAATTATTCCAGTCCACGGGTTGGGGAAGGCGGTTGCAGCCAATCACGTGTGCAGCAGTAGGAGCAAGCTGCACAGTGCAACCATGAAAGAAGGGCCAAGGCGCAGGGGATAGTACAGGCAGGGCAGGCCTACTATGGAGGATGGAGCAGGAAAGATTTTTACGAAGGTCTACTATGGAGTCATCTGTGTATTCGATTCGGGAAGCTCAGATAAATCAAAATGGGTTTCTCTTTTTTTCATGGCAGTCTGGTATGGTGTCTACTCCACAACAACAAAAATGGATTTATACCTCTCTGAGTAATTCCAGTCTAGGATTTTAATATTTGTTAATGGATATGCTTCAGAGCTCTGATGGTATTATTTTCATGCTCCCGGCCTAGCACATAACATAGAGTTCATGATGTTTAACTAAGCTGATGCACGTATATTATTATTTGTTAGGGAAATCCTTCTGTTACTTTGATGTGTCTGACTTTTCGGGGAGAAATAAGGCAGCCAAGTATTTGTGCTTTGACAGAATTCGTCTTTTTAGTGCCAGCTACATGAATATCACACTGTCAGTCACTAGCACCGGAATTAGGAGGCAATCAATTGGGAAGGGAAATTCTACTCGGCTGAATCAGCATTGGAGTTAAGTTGTGAGTGCCAGCAACATCATTGCTATCTAACCATGATCAACGTGTTCTCATTTATTTGGTAATTATATATATGCTGACACAGGTAATGATGTTTTTATTCGAATATTATTTTTCCATCTCCAATCACGGGCAGTGCTGGAGCTGACGCAGCGTTCCACGTAGGACGAGGGGTGAAGTTGAGCTGAAAAGAAAAGTATGAGGTGACTGAAACACACTTTGATAGTTCATGGATGATTTTTTTTTTTTTTGAACCAGGAAAACAGCAAGGTATGCACCCACTGTTAGCTTTTATTAAAACAAAAAAAAAGCAATCACTGTGCAAAACAGAAGGAAACACTCCAGCTAAGCCTGAGTGAGGCAAGAACAAGAAGAAAAATTAAGAAACACTATACATAGGAATCAACCCAGGAGAGAAAAACAGATCGCTTGTTTCCAGAAATGCAAAGTTTGAGGACTGAAATGGTCACTTTGATAGTTTTGGGATGAAACTGAGCCCAAAAGAAAACTCAGGATTGACAGTCATTTTGAAAGTTTGGGAGGAGATAGTTGAGGGACTAAAATGACTATTCCACCTTTTGATTCTGTGAGAAACTTTGGGGCAGAGGAAGTTACAGAGCAAGACTTATTGATGGAAAAAAATACAGGAAGTGGTAATGAATGGCGAGGAAGATTGAAGTCTTATGGAAGATGGAGAAATCTGGGATTTACTCTACAAAATCCATGTATAGGTGGAAGACCTTCTGAGGCAGTTCTATGCAAAAGAAGGAAGAAATTGTGGAGCAATAGGATGCCCCTAATGCTGACAGTTCTGGAACAATGAAAATGGAAAGGGGGATGCTAATTGCACCATCTGTAATTGCCCAGAAATTGTAGATCATGTTTTCCTTTTGTGTTTTAGCTAAATTCTGTTGGGTGGTCATCAAAGACGCACTACGATAGGATAGGACACCTACAAATATGCAATATTTCCTAGATGAATGGTTAATGCTAGGGGGAAAAGATTATAACCTGAAGCTGTTCTCTTTTCGGTGGTTACTTGAGCATTGTGGACAACTCGAAAAATAAAATGATGATTGAGAAAAATTTCCAAAATCGCCAACTGAAGTGTTATTCAAAATGTCCAACTACTTGCAGAGATGGAAGATTCTACTGAGGCTGGCGGAGAAATCAAAGGTGGAACACATGGGCAGCGACGGAGTACCTCTTGAAGAACAAGAAGCCTCGAGATATGGAGGAGCTGCTGTAAGGGTTGCGTGAGAGGGGACAGCGCCTTTTCTTTTCCAATCTTGTCCGGTTGCCTGTGTGTCGCGTTTGCTTTTGGGAGTCTAGAATCTTTCTTAGCAGTTTGCTGCTGTTAGTGGTTTTCTCCTGGTTTCTTTGTAAGCTGGTCTCCCCAGCAAGTTGCAGACATTGTAAACACATTTGCTTTCTTATAAGCACGGTTATACTTTGTCAAAAAAAAAAAAAGGTGCCAGTGAAAAAATAGGTCGAAATCATCTAGAAGTTGTAGAAAAGAGGTATTTTAAGGATTGTGAAAGAGGCTAAAAACAACAAGTATTTAGAACTGGAGGAGCAGCCAATATGGTAGTAAATTTCATTCTTGAGGAGACATACTCGAAGGTAGCACTGATGACCACATGGCTTCTTGTTTTCATCAGGCTCAAGGCTGTAGGGTTGCTTCTCACACTGACAAACAAAATATTTTCATTTACTTAGCAGGGAAAAAATAGAAATTTCAAATGCAAATGATCTGTTTACTTACTGGGAATACCAAATTCTGTGAGCAACCATGGAGGCGGCAATCAAAAACCTGAGTGAACAAATGTCCTAGGTAAATCTCAACCTTGAAAGTTTAGTTGAACCAATCGGCAAAACACAGCCTTGAAAACAGGAAATAAAAGCAACAGAATGCCAGAAGTGGAATTATACCAAGCATCTGCGGCAGAAGAGATTATCAAAAGAATCCAGAACGGCATCCATAGTTTTGTCCAGAGAAAGTTGGCTCTCTATCTTATCTGAAGATGCAGAGTGCTTCTCATTTTTCTCAAATAGAACTTCAGATCTTTCCTGTCATTTTAAGGAAAAAGCAGAGTCGCTATCAAATTTTGGGCATCTTATAAGTTGAACAAATGTAGGGACAGTTAATATTTATGGTATACAAGTCACTTCACTAACTTAAAAATATTATTAAAAAGGTAGACAACCTCAATTTCTGATGGAGTTGCATCAATAAACTGGCAGAGGACATTAACAACCTCTCGGTTTAACCCATGCTCTTGAGTAGCTCTCCTGTAGAAGTTGCATAAAATCAGATAAACATGAATTCATATAGAAAAATAAAGGTCAATTTCTTATTCCAGTGTGCAAAATTAGCTAAATTCCATGTTAGACACCATGGGAACTGTACAGTAAAGCTTGTGTTGGAACCACTTCAGTAGACTATGCTGCATAGGGCATAACCCTATAGGGTATGTATAATGCTCAAGGCAACAAGCAGGTGGAAATTTGGCATATCAAGCAGGCCTTGCAACTAACTTTGCAACCAATTTCCTCAGGCACCGCACATCTGGTTTCTTTCAGTGAATGTAGTGGCCTGGTTCTGATACATGGATCTTACCTTAATATTACAACTTTTTTTTTTGGGGGGTGAGGGGAGGTGTGGGGCTTAGAACCTGTTTAAATTTTGAAATATTTTGTAATTTAGTTTACCATATCATTTTTAATGAGGATATTACCATATCAATTGATCTTCTCCCTCTGTGAAAAAGTGTTTCTCTTCCTCTGGTTCTGGGATTTCTTCATCACTGTCACTGCAGATCAGAGCCTCATTTCCGACTGGATCATAGTAAATTCTTCTCCTACCAACAACTGACTGATCGTCGGCCATTCTTTGGTTTCTGCGCTGTGTTATTTAGAAGATAGTAAAATATCAAAAAGAAAAAGGATGCAATACTTATTCCAAATCGTTATATCTACAAGCTTGCATGCACATAACTACAGTCCAATCTCCTTAGAGTGACCATGAATATCACAAAATAGTGCCCTTGGTCATCCCATTTGGAAAACATATGAACACAAGAATACCAATATCTAAAGTGTCGGATGTGTGATGGTAATAAAGATATAAAATGAATATCACAGATGCTGATAGAGTTCCCACAGCTGAAGGGTATGGAAATTTGCTGTTTTTTTTCAAAAGTTTTATATTTTATTATCATATGACTAAAGTACTCCTACATTGGTTTGGAGCATCGTATAAGCACATGCATTATCGATTACCCAGTCCATAATCTCACTCTAAGATCAATTTGGCACATGAGGTCATGAGCTCCAAGAAAAATTGCGAAGCAGCATAATAAGACGTAATCAGAGGGGGAGGGTGTAGGCAACAGCACCATACTTGTCCAGGAAGATCCAAGTGGTGTACGGAGGATCCTCTCAACCAACGGCAGCTTCACGAACCGCACGACTGTCCGCTGCGCGGCAGCGCCCGAGCTAGAGAGCACGAGCGTCCCGACCGCTAGGTTCTCCTCTTGCATGTACACCAAGTCCCTCTCCGCTATCCCGTTTGCCAGATCTGACCCAGTGAACCTGGACTGTCCCTCCGCCGCGCGCTGCGACAGCGCGTTGCCGCCATCGGTGCCCCTCGACGCCACTTCCGCCGCCGCTGCCACGTCGAACAGCGCGCAGGAGTGCCTCTGCAGCGTCTTCCTGTTCGCCTCCCAATTTCTCCTGCAAAGAGAGCCAAACACCCAATCCACCGCCACATCCGATTGAGAAAACTAAACCCGATGCTCCGCCCCCGAAATTTCAGTGACATGATGATCGGGCCGTGCGCGGTCGCTCACCTTGATGTACGCGAGGCGCCCCGATTTGATTTGGCGTATCAGCTGCGTCAGGTTCCCGTGGATCGGGACAGTAGAGGCGGCAGCGGCGTCCCTGCACATCATCCCCTGATCCGACCGCTGCAGGGCACAGAAAACAGGGAGAGAATCGAAACCAATCAGATTGGGGAGATCGTGCCGGTGAACCCGGGGCGGATGAAATCGAGAGGCCGCGCGCACCTTGGATCGTTGGGAGGAGGAGTCTGAGGCCTTCGACGACGAAGCCATGGCGGGCGGTGGCGCGAGTTCTGCGACGGCCCCCTTGGCCTCCGTCTCCACTCCTTGCGAGACCCCGCTGTTCTGTTCCGCTCTGTCGCGGTAAAGGTAGGGCCGACGCTGGCTCTGCGTACCTGTCCGTGACAAGTAGGGAGGATCCGAAGGACGGGCCTAGCTGTCAGAAACAGAAGGTGGCCTTCGGACGCGTGCGGCCGTTTCTAGCGCGGGGCTCCGTGGCTCCGTGGTGAGCTTGCTGCCGGCTGCTGGCTGCCAGTTTCGGCGGCGTTAGGCGGCTCACGCGCGGCGTAGGCACGTCTGGTTGTGCTTGGTTGGTGGGCCAGCCCTTAGCCTGGTTTCTACATTCAATTTTAGGCCTGTTTTAGTTTTCAAAAATTTTCACCCTAAACTATCACATCGAATCTTGCGGTATATGTATGGAGTATTAAATATAGATAAAAAAAACTAATTAAACAATTTGGTTGGAAATCACGAGACGGATGTTTTAAGACTAATTAGTCCATGATTAGCCATAAGTGCTACAGTGACTAACATGCGCTAATGATGGATTAGTTAGGTTTAATAAATCCGTCTCGCAGTTTCCAGGCGAGCTATATAATTAGTTTTTTTTATTAGTATCCAAAAACCCCTTCCGATATCCCCGAAACATCCGATGTGACATCAAAAAATTTCATTTCGCGAACTAAACACAGCCTTAGTCTGTTTGGTTGCAAGGGGCTGGGATCTGACTTGGGCTGGCCAACAGTACAGTTGGAGTCCGGTCCAGGTTGAACGCCCGATTCGCCCGTTCTTTCCTGGCCAGACCAGAGCCAGCCACGTGATTGTTCGCATCACCTCCCATCCTGTTCGCTACCTCCTTGTTTTCGGTTCCTCACCGCGCCGCTTGTAGCGTCGCACCGCACCGCCCGCACTGCCCACTGGGGAAGAGGTCTTTTTTCGTTTGGCGATTTAATAATTAAATTCCCTCCATCCAAAATCCAAAAAGAATCATTTCTAGTTGTGTCCTAAACCAAACTATCTTAAATTGGAAGCTTATATTAAAACACTAATAAGATTAGATTTATCATGAAATATATCTACATAATCTATCTATTTGGTATCATAAATATTTATACTATTCTCTATAACTTTAATCAAACTTAACTTATGCTGACTTATGACCATGGTTTTTAGCTTCAAAAACCATGCCTAAGACAAAAACAAAAAATGTACAAAAAATAGAACAGACATATTATAATTTACATTAATGAAGATTTTTGTAATATATTTCTCAAGGCAGGACTTAGATATACACGCATCATATACCTAGGAACAACTAATAAATTAAGATTGATTTTACTTTTTACGTGCAGTATTAGATTTATCCTAAGTCAAACATTTTTTATGCTTGACCATCATTTTTTGAAAAAAAACTATATAGTTTCACAACATGTGAATTATATATTATGAAATTATTTTTTATAGTGAATCTAAATACATAAATATTACCCATGTTCCAAATTATAAGTCGTTTTGATTTTTTTGGTACATCCATTTGCTATGTATTTTGATATAATAATATGTCTAGATACATAGTAAAATGGATGAAGCAAAAAAGTCAAAACGACTTATAATTTAGAACGAAGGGAGTATGTTATTAGCTAATACAGTTTTTTTAAATTGATGGTCAAAAATAGAAATGTTTGACTTTGTTTGGATAAACCTAATATGACATAAAAAAACAACGGAGAAGTATTTGCCTCGCTATTGTTAGGCACAATATATACATTAAAAATGTATTATGCATAAATGTGAACAATTATGTAAGTTAGAGACTCCTAGCTCCGTCTGCATCTATTCTTTAGCTTGCAAGCATATGCCAAACTTATCCCAACATTTAACTGTATTTGCGTAGGCTTACATACATCATATTATCATGTTACTCGATTTATTCGGATGGACACCATAAGTTTATGCCGTTGTGTGGACATAAAACAAAACGCTAATGTGACGAAGCTAAAAAGAAAAAACATGATCCGTAGGGGTATAACCTTTTTCAAGGCGTTGTTATTGAACTAGAAGATTTGTGATGCTTGGAAGCTAAAAAGCCTTGCAGTCCAAGAAAAAACCCTAGATCCGGATTTTATCGGTGCATCCTGGCTTTTGCTGAGGAGATGATATTTTAACGATGCACGTCTACACTCATCGATGCATCATCTTTTTTTTCTATGTCCACACAAGAAAAGCGACCCCTCTTGAAATGTCCTCTAAATCTACCTCAAAAAGCGTACCCAGAAAAACAATTCATTTCAAACAAACCGTCCAAATACATTATAAGCTTTCTCTCTTCTTACCCATTATACAATCGAGGACCTAGATTGAATTGAATATATCAAATCGCCTCGTTCTCCACACCTAGATTGAATTGAATATATCAAATCGTCTCGTTCTCCACCGCACCACGCCATACATCTGACCCACCCAAAGATTAGGGCACTCACAATGAGACTCTACCCATAGAGTCTTAACATCAAAGACTTCATCACAAGAAACCATGCTCCCCAATTGCAAAGTTTGTAATAGTAGTTTCTAGAGATAAAAGAATTTATTATATAAAGACAAACAAAGTCGATCACCGTGGCATACTACATGTGATCCACCCTACACCTCACTTTGACTTATCACCGGGATATTCGATCAACCGCAATTAAACCAAACAAGCGGTATATCACTAAACACAACGCATACACTAGTGTATCGCTAGAAGGATCCAAAATCATACTCGACACAACTTCGATGGAAGTTCGGATAATAGCTAGCCATGAGTCATCCATTACAATACCAATAAGGATAGAAATATAAATACCGGTGGTGTCGGACACCGTGAGAAGGGGTACCCTAAGCAAGATCCAAAAACGACTACTTAGATTTCAGAAGATCGAAAACCGACTAAACGATCTTTGGCCTCGGCCGATTCTCCGACTCGCCCGAGGCCCCATCATCTGCATGGCCTCGGCCGATTCTCGACTCGCCCGAGGCCTCATCACCGCGGACCTCAGCCGATTCTCCGATTCGCCCGAGGCCCCTCACCGCGGGCCTCGGTCGATTCCCCGCCAAAGGCCTCGGCCGAGGCCACCGACCCTCCGTCTCGCGCAAGGCGGGCTCGGCGACACTCGCTACCTCTTCCTTCTCCCGTCCCCTCGGCAAAACGTCGTGTCGCATCAACTCACCAATCACGCTTCGACAATGCCGCATGCCTTAAGACAAGACAACAGAATGGCCGATGGGGACGGAGGAGGCGGGATCGGCGGGGTTACCCGCCATCGTACTAACCACTGTGCACATGGGTTGACGCCCATGCCTCACTATCTTCGCCAACTCCCTGCACCGAGGACAATGCGGCGTGGGGAGCCACATCTGGGCTCTGTGGCCTCGGAATCGCACCAGGAGCAATAATTCCCTCCAAGGCCTCGGCGGCTTGCTGCTCCGGGGGCGACAAACCGAGGACCCATGTCCGCCAAAGCCCCCGCGATGGCTTGGCCTCGGCACCTACAGAGCCGCAGCCCCCCACGACGTCATCACGCGATGACCAGACGTCCCCGGATGGGCGGGGGTTACCCGTCACTATGCTATCCACCGTGCACATGGTTGACACCCATGCCCTTCGTGGCCGCCAACTCTGCTCCAAGGACAACGCAGCATGGGGAGCCACGTCTGGCACTCTGTGGCCTCGGAATCGCACCTGGGCCAATAACTCCCCCAAGGCCTCGACAGTTTGCTTCACGGGCTCGGCAAACTGAGGGTCCATGACCACCGAGCCCCCACGATGGCTCGGCCTCGGCATCTGCAGAGCCGCTGCTCCCTATAGCGTCATTACACGGCGACCAAGACGTCGCGCCGCCATGTCCTGCATCAAGCGTCTCTGGAGCCCCCGACACACAAGACCGAAAGTATGACCAAAGACATGTCACTTCCAGCACGACAAGGACGGGGCCACTCCATCGACCATACCACAACGGCGGTGGCCGACTACGAGGCTCGGACACGCCACCCCATTTACTAAGCGCTATGTAGCACCCTATGCACGGTCCCGGTCCTCCTTAGAGTATAAAGGGAGGGATCGGGGCCATTTCTGGGAGGCCGGAAAGGCGAACACGCCGATAGAACCACGCACTCCCACGCCGCTTGGGAACAACGCCTCAAGCAGCCCGCACCACACTCGCCGAGACACAGGGCTAGTTCCTCTCTCACCTAGCTTGTAACCCCCTACTACGAGCACTCCGGTGCAAGGAATACAAGATCGATCTCTCGGATTGGACGTAGGGCCTCGATTACTCGAACCAAGATAAACCTTGTGTCTCTTTGCGCCACCATCCGGGATTAGGGGCACGCAAAGACAAATTCACTCGTTGGTTGAGGGACCCCGGTTCCAAAACACCGGCGGTTAGTGGCGCCGGTAGGGGCGCTGCGTGTCGCCTTCGTCATCCTAGCAAGTTCCGGATGGCAGACTACATACGACCATTGCGTCTCGGCACCATAGTTTGGTTGGGGAGCCTAGAGTTCATGTCTCTAGGGCATGAGTACGACATGGTGCTCCTCACTCCTCGAACCCCACCGTCCGACGACGAAGTCGCGCCCGGCGACCAGCGCAGGCGGCGGCGGCGGGCGGCCGCTCGCCTCGCCGCCAGCACGACGCGAGCAAGGCCACCCCGACGCTACGCGAGCCCAGGGCGACACGCCTCTCCCCGCCGATGTCCTACGACCAGCTGTTGGTACGGGGTCCCTGGGCGGGGACCCGCTCGACTGAGCACGGGCGAAGGAAAATCGCCGGTGGCTTACTGGCGATGCCCGATCGTCTAACCCCGCTCCGCCACTCCTCGAAGAGCCGACCCGTGGAAGCGAGAATATGGAGACGGCCCGTCCCCATACCCCTTTGGGTTGAGAAATGCCGCCGCCTCTTACGCCTACGCTTACGCCGCCACTCCACGAGCACCCTCGAACGCCGCCGGCGCCGC